GGTATATGAGTGAATAATGGCTATGGGCTAGGATGCATGGACGGGTACAAGGAATGAATGGATTTTGTGTACTCATGGATATGGAAATCCATTGCAGGAGTCTGATGTACACCTCCAGAAAAAAATTCTTCCGCAACTCTTCACGGGCCTGACAAATGGAGTCATTCAGCAAGCTCCATCCAAAAATCATGAGATATTCTGTTTGGGCCAAAATCATGTCATGATGCGTTTGAAGATCTCATTTGCATATAGTAACATTATGTTTTGACTATTGGTCTATGACGTGTTCATTCTTTTATCATTTTGTTGATTAATCACAATTTCACAGCTTGAAGTGAAACTTTATCCTGCCCAAAGTTTTTTTAAAAAAATCTTATATCGAAACTCTTGTCACATGATTTGTACTTTTCTTGTTCCATCATGTCATGACTCCGCTAAAGCTATTCATGTTCTTATCAATTTATTGATTAAACACAATTTTGCAGCTTAAAGTGAAACTTTAACCGTTCAAATTTTCTTCTCAAAATTGTTGTTCATGCTTTTCATGATTTGTCGGTTAAACACAAATTTGCAATTAGGAGTGAAACTATAACGACTCATGGTTTCTTTTCCAAATTCTGATCACAAAACTCTTGTCGCATGATTTGTGCTTTTCTCGTTCCATGTTGTGAAATTTTTGCTGGAGCTATTCATACTTTTACCAATTTGTTGATCAAACACAATTTTGCAGTTCAAAGTGAAAATTTAACTTCCCCAAAGTTTCTTCTCAAAATTCTGATTTCAAAATTCTCGTCACATGATTTTTGATTTTCTCGTTTCATCTTTTGAAGACTACTTCCAAGCTTGTTGGTGTGGATTGCTCTGTGATGTAAAGATTGGGACGTGTATTCTTACAATAACTTTTTGATTAGAAGATCAATGACTTGGATTGTTCTTAAGATGTAGAGATTTATACTTGTAATCTTACAATGACTTTGTGTATATGAGATAAATGGTACCATGATTAATACAAAATCTCATTACTCAGAACTAGTGTTATAACCAAATATTTAGACCAGTGATCTACCCTAACATAAACTGGGCTAAACGGCCTCGAATGATAAACAACTTCATGTTTATGTGTTCTAATCATGACATTTGTATGTATGGATTCATGAGTATGAGTTGACTATGACTTCATGGGTAATGGATGTGTAATGGATATGAAAAAGTTTCCATGGGTGGGTAATGGATGGGTACAGTTGATCCATTCATGGGTATGGGTTGGGTATGGATAAAGTTTTGAAGCTCAATGCATAACTCAGGTGTGTTGCATCGGAGAGCACCTTCATGGAAAAATGGTTTGTTCTAATGGAAATAAATAAGATCGACTTTCTTGATAGTTCCATTTTTCTTGTTACCAACCCCGTGTCTGCGCGTATCATGATGGCGTAGCCCTGATTCAACGCGTAAGTTTGCACAATTGATAGCACAACGTTTAATGTTGTGTGGGAGATCTCTAGCGGTGGAACGAGCTGGAAGTATAAATATGCATCAACTGTTGTATCATGGATGTGATATGAGTTGTGTATTGGAATTTCATTGCGCATTATAACACCTAATCGCTCTTTGCTTAACTTAAACGCAAAAATAGATTTCACAATCAAGCTAAATTAGGTTTTGCGGACATTCAGTACAACCATGCGCTCTGATTGCAATCCAATCAATATTTACGTTACTCCACACTCAACTGAATGGATTCCTCTATGTCAAGAATCAAAGTGTACTTGTGTCACTGACATATATTTCCATGATGTGCACTTCTTCTGATTCTACCCTTTTCCCTAGTCACTACAAACATTGTGTCCTCATCTCCATGTCATATGGTACCATAATGTACACTATTTCTGATTCTGCACCTTTACATCTTCACAAAGAATATATATATTATATCAAATTTATTTTTGTTCTTGTGAGACCAATCACAATCTGACTTTTGTAGAATAAAATAGGGTGAGTTATAATTAACCTTTAAATGAAGTATAACTAGACACTCTCTAGTTATGTGAAACTCACGTGAAAATGCTCTAGCGCAAGAGGTTGGCCATAATGCAAGTGCATAATTATTTACTAAAAGTACCATCTTGTACAAAACCTTGCACAAGGTCGTACAAAACCTTGTACGAACTTGTGCTAAGTACATACTAAGACATATCTAAACCCTCCTTGGTTGATTCTTATGAGGTGAAATCTATAGCTCACATGAGCATCCTTAAACATTCCGTACATTGGCAGAAATCCCAGGTTATTTTAAACTTTTAAGCTTCCATTTCAAACAAAACCCGCTCAAGAAAATGATTAGAAATGGGAAAGATGACTTTTATCTGAGTGCAGAGGTGCTAGGCATGTGTGAATGCCTTGAGGATAGCTAAATCTGGGCGAAGGCAAAAGTACAAAACCCCATTGTCGGCTCTAAGTGCTTTTGAATGCAGGGTTTCTTCTTGTGTGTATGAAAGCCTCGGACAGTAGCTATATCTGGACGTACATAGAAGTACTAAAATCCGCTGTCAATGCCTGGTACTGCTGACTACACTGAGTGAGAGCTAAGACGAAAATCTGGGAACTTGATGTGACCAAGAAACACCCCTTGTGCCCTTCTTAGAGACATATATGCCTGTTTTCGTTGGTTCTTATCCTAAGGCCCTTCTCATTTAGCCTAAACCGGTCTAGGTTTCTTGTCTGTTGAAAAATAGCAGAGAGTAATGTAGTACTGTAGCAACCAACCATTTGGTTTCTTCAGGCAAAAATTCACGAATCAATATTTTATTTCACCTAAATTCATCTTCGATTATTCACAAGAATTCATAACTTTGTGGGGAAAAATTATAATTAGGAACATGTATGTATGCTCATGGAACATGCATGTCATACATAAGGCATGGGGTTAGATTATCTGGTTGGTTCCATAATTTTGGGTTCATCATTATAATCCCTTCTTTAAAGCTTCAGTACCATATCAGAAATAACTCTTATGTTAGTCATGTATCTTAGTGGCAATGGAGTGTCAGGGAGGACCTCATATACTTTCAGATAACAATCTGAAAGTAGTCTGTGGGACCTAAAAGGAAAATCTCGCCTATAGAACGTTTAACGTTCCATTTTCGTATAACTTCTATTCATTTCGTAGACGATTTCATTAATTTCATTATTTTTTTGGAATTTGAAGTTTGCATCTGATCATCAATTTGTAGGCTCGTAAAAAGACAATAGTATATCTCCGTTTGTAAGGTCACATACATGAAATATTAAAAGGTATATTGAAACCCTTTAGGGCATATCTTTATGGATAGTTCTTTTGAAGATTTCGAGAAATGGATAGGATCAAAGTAAATATATATTGCAACAATATCAACTGGGTCGGTGGAATATTTTTTTATCTTGTGAAACGAAAAAAGAATGACTCATGGAATTACTAAAGAGATGAAAAACCATCTTTGTGACACATAAGAATTCTGGAAGGATCTATGTCAATCTCCTCTTTAAACAAAATTCTGTGAAAATAATATAGAGGATCGTCTATAGTTTATTTTGAAAACTCAGCTAATCTTTACAGATGTTATTGATGAGTTGGTCTTCAATCTCAACGTAGATATAATGGGCAGGTGGTTCAGAAGTGGTAGCTATATGCTAATCGTTTTGAAACTGCATTAATCAACCTCACGCACCGAAAGAGAAGACATGTGTGTCAGTCCCGCCCGTTCCCATATTTGTTTGAGAAATACTTCCACTAAAATGTATGAAGGTAGTTTTAATTGTCTTAGGCGCAATTCTGAGAAAAACAAGATATCCCAGGTCATTGACATTTTGCCGTGCCGCAACCCATCATGTTCAGGATCTGCGTGGGTGTGAATTACCGGCGGTGATATCTGATAAGTCCCTAAAGTACAAAACCCGATCGGTGCCAAAGGAGAAGCGATCCCAAGATTCCGCACATTCGAAAAATAAATACGATATTTAAAAGGAGAATTACATGAGTCTCTAAACCATATGAACCGGTGTGGTGAAACGGTGTGGTGGCAAGCTTGCCTTTTCGCCATTATGAATAGGATACGCTTATGAAGTATTTACGACAGTGACATTTTAAAACATTGTTACTATGTACGAGTATATCGCATAATTAAATGTCACGATGAAGAGGTGATGTGAATTCAGGTTTAGATTCCATAATTTTCAAGTTATTCCTTTTTTAGATAATAATAATTTTCATAATCAATGAAAATTAGAGTCACTCTTCAGCATTATGACAAAGAACCCAAGAGATAGATTGGCTACAACTAACAAAGGACTGCGGTGTTCAAAAAACGGTTTAGTGTTGGTCGTGAAGTGTTTGGCTCTTTCAGATCTTCATACCCAATTAATTTGATTGTGAATTAAAATGCTATACATTAAGAAAATGCAGTGAGAAATATAATAACGTAATCGCCTGCCTTCCTAGCAAAAAAGACGATGAAACTTTGGAGGGAAGCTTTGCGGTTTCCAATTTTCGTAGAGAAATATGTACTATTGAATTTCACGGCATCACAAATATATTTTGAAATAAAACGCTTGCATGTCGAAATTCAATGCGAATTATTCGTAATCGCCCGCCTTTCTCGTCCAATCATGAAGGGCGACACTTGTCAACACAAGGAGACGCCCGAGAGTCAGGTACGTCGCTGATATACCGACCCAAGGACTTTACTCGTCCCAAGGACCCGAAGGCAGGGCTCTGTCGCGAGACAGATACACGTGGTGGAAGCAGATCGTTCCACACAGGCCCGTTAAGTCCAAACGGGCCGAGAGGAGGGCGGGAAGTTTGAGCTCCAAGGAAAAGTTCAAGTTCAAGTCCGTTTGCTACAGTTAAAGTCGGTGGTCGTGGGAAAGTACTGGGCCCGGGGAAAAAAGGAAGACTCGGACCCGAAGGCAGCACGCACGCAGAGGCGAGACCCGTCGAAGGAGGCGAGGGGAGGCGGCAGCGCGGGGGGAAAATTCAAAGTTGATTTCAAACGAGGAAATTCGCGCTGGTTCGGAAGTTTGTGACATACTTTGCCTCGTTTGAGTGCCGACGCGAGGGAGCGAGCGAGAGAGCGCGAAGGAGGAGGGAGGTGCGGGTGATGGGGCTGATTCTTCCCGGCTTTTCCAGGCATCTCCTCGGGTATAGTTGCCAGGCTCATGAGGGATTGAAATTCCTGATCTGCCTGAGGTCCCGTAGCTGGTCTGATTGAGCTCGCTTCGCCTGGCGCGCGCACGGAGCGAGAGTGTTCGAGAGCATCGGTCGCCACTTCGCCGTATTCCGAGAAGGATTCTTGAGGATTGAAGGCCAGGGAGATGGAATTGGAGTTGGAGTGAAAGGCGCCTGCATTGTCGTGCGAGAGAGCTCGAGGCGGCCGATTCGTTCTCGTTCTCGATTCGTTCTCCTTTCTCGTTCTCCTCAGGCTTAGATATGCTCTAGGCACTTCGAAGTCTTCATCAAGACGCGCTTCCTTACGACATCTGAGAGGTAGTTTGTTTTGGAGGTTACAGGTGCTGGCATTCGGTCGAGTTTCCATCCGTAGACGAGCCCCTCCCTCTGAACTGACTCTCTCCCTGCTAGACGATTTGCGTTCAGCTTGTTCGTTCGTAGGTTCTGAGAACATCGTTTCTTCATCTTGTTTTCATCTTCTAGGACTCCGCTCGTACCTCCTCACTTTTGCTAGACCTATGCAACGAGGAGCAGGCATGCTGTCTTGCTCGCACCTTATGCCTCCCAGTGCCTGTTAGGCCCACATCTATGTCGGAGCTCTAGGCAGTTGTGTTGGAGGGGAGGGAAGCAAGGCAGGAGTGTACAGGGTTTGGAGAAGCAGTCTTCACTGAAGAATGGCTGAGATGGAAGGGACACGCCTGCGCAAGAGGTCGAGCGTCGGGGGAACTGGAGTCTCGTCTTCTGCAGGGGGGGTATTGCACACCTCCGGCTCGGGAGAGGAGATGAGGCGGACCACGAGGGCGGCTTCAAAGAGAGCAGCCATCGACGATGCAGCCCGAGTCGCCTGTCCCGTCTCTGGCGTTCAGCAGGCGAAGAAGCGCGCTGCGTTAGCCAATCTGTCAAATCTAGCGAGCATTCCAACTTCTCGCAATGCGTCTCCCGTGTCGGAGGTTAACGTGAAGAAGCGCGCAGCTCTGGCTAGCCTCTCCAACCATTCGAATGTCCCTGTCACCCGCAATTTTGCTCCTGGTGGTTCTAAGAGCGGCGCATCCTCTCTAGGTGGTGTTGGGAAGATAAAGCAGGCAGCTGCGACCTTATCGAAGAAAGTCGAAGCTGAGCCTGTTGCAGCATCCAAGAAAGAAGCGGCACAAGAGAAAGCACCGAGCAAAATCCCAGCTGTTGTTCTCACTCCCGTAGCGGTGGAGGATCAGGAGAACGTCCCTCCTCAGCCGATGAAGAAGTCATCCGATCTTCATGCCGAGTTGAAGCCTGGCACTTTCTCTGGCGCTCCTTCGATTCCATGTAGCAAAACCGCGGGTACTCAGAGTAACGCATCAGTTATTGCATCTCTTGAAAGAAAGACATTGGAAAATCTGTACATATCGAGGAATACCAAGTCTTTGCATCATGAGTTCGGTGGTTGGCCCGCTAGTCAGAACTACACGGACATCGACGGTGACCTTGGTGATCCTCAAATGTGTAGTATCTATGCCATAGATATCTATCAGCATCTGAGAATGCAGGAGGTGAAGCGAAGGCCAGCAACGGAGTTCATGGAGAATTTACAGCAGGATATAAACGCAAGCATGCGGGGAATTCTGATCGACTGGCTCGTGGAGGTTGCTGAGGAATACAAGTTGGTCCCTGATACCCTCTACTTGACTGTGGCGTATATCGATCGGTTCCTGTCCAACAATGTGGTGAATCGCCAGCGCCTACAGTTGCTGGGCGTCTCTTGCATGTTGATCGCGGCGAAGTACGAAGAGATCTGTGCTCCGCAGGTCGAGGAGTTCTGCTACATCACTGACAACACCTACGCCCGGGAGGACGTGTTGGAGATGGAGAGGCGAGTGTTGAGTAACTTGCATTTTGAGCTGACGACTCCAACAACGAAGAGCTTCCTTCGGCGCTTCATCCGAGCCGCACAAGCAGGCTACCCAGTTCCTGCGCTTCAACTGGAGTTTCTGGGAAACTACTTAGCTGAATTGACCCTTGTGGAGTACACTTTCCTGCATTACTTGCCTTCCCTCGTTGCCGCGTCTGCCGTGTTTGTGGCCAAACTTACTCTCGACTCCGACACCAGTCCGTGGAACTCCACTCTGCAGCATTATTCTGGTTACCGGCCCTCTGAACTGCAGGAGTGCGTCAGGGAGATCCACGAGCTGCAGCTGAACTCCAAAAACTGTACACTGCCAGCGATCAGGGAAAAGTACAGCCAACACAAGTTCAAATGCGTGGCGAACTTGACTCCTTCTCCCAAGATTCCTGCAGAGTACTTCCAGGACTTGGAGATGTAGGAAGGACCGAGCTTAGCCACCTTCGGCTCCGTGTAAAGGGTCGCGAGGAAGTGAATCGACTACCTCCAATTCCGAATTGTGAATACGATCTCAGGTCCTTTTTGCCAAGGCGCGACAGCACTCCTACATTCTGTATCATTCTGATCCTAGGTTACAAAACTCTAAACATCGGTCATGACAAGGCGTTTTCAACATCTTCGAACAGCCTGGAGAGAAGCATTGTTTTGGTGTAATCAGCCGGCCCTGGTGAGAAGTTGCGGTGTTCTGCAAGGGTGTGCGAGGGCGTGCATCTGCAGGAGCTTCCATTTCAGGTTGGTAACCTTCGGTGCAAATTGTCTGACTTTCCTTTCCTCCTGCGAGTAGGAAACATGCTCTGTGAGGAGCACTCATCTCCTGTGATCTCTAGACCGATAATTTTGATCGGTCATTGCTTCTCCGATCAAACTTATTAAATTGATTTATAAGAAAACTGACGGATGCAAGCCTACGGGGACGTTCGACTGTCTCCGTAGGCTTCCATATCCGCTGAACTAAATTGAAGACATTGGACACTATTATCGCAGTAAAGTATCCAGTGCTTCCGTGTTTTGGGGTCGCTTGATCCATATGGATAATTCTGCACTTACCCATATTCGAGATCTTGCCTTGGGATGGAATCGCCTAGAAAGATGTGAAGATGGCAGAGCCGAACTTGGATGTCGAGTGATAACAGACTTCATCTTTTCCTGGAGGCCCTTAGTACTTGTGCTCTCTTGCTTTAGTCGGGTCTTTTCGTAAGGCAAGGTACCCACTTACTAAACTGAATAACTACGAGTAAGGAAATTGGAGGTCGAATGCTTTCTGTAGTGGATAGATAGTTGCTCAGTGCGGAAACTCAAGTTTCTCAGGTCTACCGTGGCGCATGCAGGTCATGCCGGAGTTCGTGCTAGTGGGGAAGAAGGAACGATTCCTTCATCATTCGAGCGATGATGGCAATCACCGAGGGTGCATAGAGGAACGACCGATGAGTTTAGATTGATTATCCGAGAGTTAAGATGACAAACTTTTCCGCAACGAAACAGTTGCGGGCGATTGTAAATTTGTAGGGACGGCTAAGTAGCAACTTCTGGTGGCAAGGGGGCGGGCCGTTTATTGAGCCCGACTCGGCTACCACTCTTGACACGCTCAGGACGGATGCTCTTGCGGTAGAGCAGAAATAGTAGACGGACGGAAGGAAAAACTTGCCCATTCATTGTTTCGGATTCTTCGCTACGAGAGTACTGGTGAGACACAAACGGTCTAAATCACCACTCTGTTCTGAAATACAAAATCCATAAATTTGATCAATACGCTTTATGTCACAATCTTGTCGGCGCTCGATCATGCTCATGATGTGTCACGTAATGTTGAATCGCACGGCACGACGCCCCTGCTTGAGTCCGAGATCGCAGCATTCAATCCCATGGGTCTGTCTTCGCCGATCGAGCCACTAGTGAATTTTCGTTGAGTTAGACCCAGTACGAGTGAGTGTAGGCCTTCTGAACTCAACGGTCGCATCCACCCCTTACGAGGAGTCGTGTCTGCTGGGTGTCTGTAATTCAGTCTACGTGTCACACATCCATCTCATCTTCTGCGCATGCTGAGTCAGCCCCTGTATTCACGCTGTAAGATTGTGCAACTACGCTTCCCAAGTCGTCACTTTCGCCCTAACGTCGTCAACAAGAACGTGATAGAGTAGACACAGTAGCCTCCGGGTGAAGTACTCGTCCGTTTAGGAACGGATAAATTTACTCAGACATTAAGATTCATTTAGCACGACATGTCATATGTCGTAAATTTGCGCAACTTTTGATCCTTGTGTCTGGAAAGTAGCTTATGTTTGATGTGTACTCATCTGGAGTTTCAAATCGATTTTGGTTCATATTTCTTCCTATGGCATTAAAAGGTTGTATTTAGGTTGTAGTAAAAAACTAGCAGGTATGGATTACATCGTGTATGTTTTCAGATCAAAAAATGGCAATAAACACGTACAGATGGTCTACAGCTCTTAGTAATCCACTATCGGATTTGTTAACCTCATCGCATTGTGACTGATTTAGCCGAAATTCTAAATAATTTGTAGGTAAATTGGCATTACGCGTGTTGTTAAAATATTTACTCAGACTCATTGAAACAACCAACAAGAATTAAAGCATTCTCTTTAGGTTCATAAAATATCTAGTGAAATTTTTGTTGTATTTGCTCTCACTTGTCTCGCACATTTCTTATAGCTGTTTCACTAATATACTACTTGCGAGTAAGAGTCATTTTCTTGGAAACAGCCTTGTCACTCGCTAAGATTCATTTAGTAGTTCAGTTTAGGGTTCTTTGACATTACAATCGATTCAAAAAATTCAAAAGTGAATTCCCTAATTAAAAATTGTGGCATAATAAATTTGAAGACCTGTCTAGATAATTATGTATAATAAGTTTTCCTATTTTAAATTGAGAAAAATATCCAAAAGCTATATAAAAAGCTCTCATAATTTTACTTATTATTGTTCGTAGGTTTTTACTATGCCTCGTCAAAAGAAAACCTCAATGACTATCCGTTCCGTCCATGGGGTCTAAGATTTTTAATTTTATTTTTAAAGGGGAGTAGGCTAACATGATCATGTACATTGCTTTTACTAGGGGGTTGGTTGTCCATCCTGGATATTCCTATATTCCAGGAAATTCCGGGCTCTATCTGGTTTAGTATGAAGGTTCTTTTCTTTCCGTTTGTATATATGTGAATCCGCGCAACATTTCCACAATATCGTTATGATCAATTAATGAGACTTGGCTGGAAAGTCTTCTTGCCTTTATCATTAGCATGGGTAGTCTTTGTTTCTGTTGTTCTAGTAGCATTTGAATGGCTATCTTAATTCTTTAGCAATTTCACGCCACAAGAACATACATATATTTAGGGCCGAAGGAGAAAAGCGTAAAAGCTATAGATTTTTTCCTTCAGCTCTCTCCCGGCCCCGAGGGTGTTCACCGGAACAAATATGATATATATATATATATATATATATAAATACAATCCAGTATGAAATGTTAGTTAATTGAGTTCCAGGTTCTCCTATCAAATGGGTAATCCGGTAATTATGCTGATAGCTTCTCCCATTTCTATTAGAAAATGATTCGCTAAATATGCACAATCCCATTTCTATTGGAAAGTGATTCGATAAGTATGCACAATCATCCCAGGATGAAGGTGCATACTACTGTACTGCAAAACCTCGCGTCCTCGGCTCAATGTGTCCCGGCAACAAGCGTCGTGCGAAATTTCTCAGCTGAATACTAATATCTCACAACCCGTCTGATTCTACGAAAATATATAACATAAAATGCACGAGAAGGGACGAGAATGGATGGAAAGGAGCAATGTGCTTACAAGAGCAATCGTGGTCACACTGATTGTTGCAGAAAGCAGCGCAGCTTGAGCAGGGTCAGAGTGCACCGAGACCAACTGAGATGAATGTGACACGAGTTTGACCAGCCGAGATGAAGTAACCCTGCCGACACATTCCGTGTCCACCCGGAGGGAAAAATAACACAATGGTATTTCCGTGGGCGGTATGGCTGCTTCGTTGCAAGTCTGCTTTCCAGCCACGGGGGAGAATCCAAAGGGTGTGGATATGTTTGTCGAGGCGGGCTGGTAAGTTGAGGTTTTAGAATGTCGGAGCACGGAGTATTTGCATGCCAGTAGCATTTCGTTTTACTTAAGCTCTTGCAACTCTTTCGCTACGACTCTAGAAGTAGATCGCCAATTTCGGGAGTAGGAAGAGCCAGGATTGACAAGGAAACTCCCTCTAATTACCCTCGAGAGGTTGCAATATAAACCTTGTGTTTAGATTTTCTATGTGTACAATTGTCGTGGTGTGTGATGTTTCAGATATATATGTGAAGGACGTGTTATCTATCTCTACCTGGAACGCACATGACGTACTGTTGGGGGAATTCGCATGGGATCGAAAGTGTTACATCACCGTAGGGGAAAGTATGCTGTTGGCGGTATAAGTTGCTGGTATATTGTAACAGAGTATTTTTACATATGTAGAGAGCATAATTTACAGTTTTCTTCCTTTTTCAATTTCAATATTTAAGAAGATTGAAAAATATTCAACTGAACAGTATATTATATCAGCTATGTTTAGAGTTCTCACCTATTCTTCTCAAGTTTTCAGCTGGGTTTTTAATCTTTGTATCTGAGGTCAATTTTATTACGGGATGTTAGAATAGATTCACTGGTTTTATCCTCGCGCAGATAAAATTATTCGCTGGTAATTCTAGGTCTAGATAGTTATAATTAGAACATAGTTTTTCCATGATTTTTTGGTGTCTAATCGGTCAAAAAGAAACCGAAAGCGAATATCAACTCATGCACAAAATAGAGAGAGGAGAAGATTCCTATAAGTTTACTCTTAAGTTCATGTACATCTTCTTTTACGTACGATTTGATAGAGATTTCTGTTTTATTTGATTATCATTGATCTCCTAATCTTCTGATGTGCTCCGGATGATGATGCTCATGAGATAATTGTGACCGAGAGAGCTAAGTGGATCAACTTGAGGTCAAAGATGAGAAAGGAGTGGTCAAGGGAGAAAATTTTTGTATCATATTTTATCCACTTGAGATTCAACAATCAAGAAGAGAAAGAGTAAGCATAAGTTGGAAAAACAAACTGCTAACCTTGTAGGATTTGTTAAATCTATGTGAGACTGCTTTCTTCAAAGACTGCCACAATCTATGCATACATGTTGGTAGTTTTTCCTCATGCTCCTTGATGCTGCTGACAATAATTATCTTGTTATGGGAATTCAATTGTGAAGGTTTGAGTTGCAAATTTCCACTGTGGACATTGTGTTTTCATTGTTCTATAGAGAACTTTGGAGTTAGACATAGGAAGGCACTCATGTTAGAAGATGTGACATATTAGTTTCAATGGTTGGTAGATTGTTTGATGATGATAGTTGTAATTCTGTAATAAGTGACATATATCTCATCACGATGATATAAGGCTAGCACATAGTCTTCCTTTGATTTTTTACTTTTCCGGTCTTCATGGAATCTTGCCATCGTTATAAATATCCATGTGACTTCTCTTCACTTTCCACTTATGATTAGGTTGGATGTATGAATAGTAGCACACATTTCAAACTGCATCTAGTACTTTTAGGCAAGGTAGCTTTTGACTTTGCCTCTGCTATTGAGAGGAACAATTTTCAGTTGGTGATGCTTGTTCCGGTCCTCCAGTTACCATACCTACTAACGAATAGCATGTCGGCAGCATCAAAGATTCAACTGGAAACATCGGATCATGATGATTTTATCTGGACTTTGCACTCTATTCTTGTATGGATGTTTCATCGCGCTTTTCATTCCTTGTGTCTCCTTTTTCCCATATCCAGGGGCACGATATCAAGGAGTTGGCAGTCGGTATAAAGATTTAGCCTATAACTAGTTGCATGTAACCTCTCGCGCTGGAGAATCAGTGAAATCGTGAATGACCGCTGAAAATATGACCCTATTGGAAGAGGAAGCAATGAGCGTCGTTTTCTTTATGGATGCTGGGTTTGCTACGGTTTATGCTCGTCGCTGGTGTTATGTTGGTGGCTATTTGCTCGAGCCCTTTAGAACAATATAGTCCAGTGTCGTTGGCTAGAAATCATTCATGCATAATATTCCGTTAGATTAACATTGACGTCTGTTACTTACTTTCTTCCAAGAAGGTTCAGTTAGGAAGAAGTTAAGTATCATGGTACTGGAGCCCAGAAGTTTAACATTCCCTTGCCTATAAAGAGGTTGCAGGTGTGCGTGTACAAATCTGACAACCCACTGATGATACTTTTCGCATCATACAAACAAACTGCGAACAGCTGGAGATCTGATGTGCCATAGTCGCCTGAAGTGAAGACGCCTCCCAATGACTGGACCCAAGTTTGCTATTTGAGCCAGCTAGCCGGAAAATTGTTAATTCAGTTTCAAAAGTCGTTGAATTTCTGATATACCTGAAGATCGAGGATATTTCTTGCCTTTGTCCGTCGCCATGGGAGATGGCTATGCATTAAAGAAGAATGAGAGGAAACAATAAGAAGAGATTCAATGCATAGGCCACACAAGGCATATCATATGCAGGCTCAAATACAAAGAAAGACTGTACTGATAACTTTTTCATTTCCTTTAGCACTCTTCTCAAATCTCACGTATGTGATTTTAGGATCTAGAGGGAATGTAAGCATTCAAATGGGCATCACCCATATTAGCAATCTGCTGCAGAGTTTACTGCGAGCTGGAGTGCAATACTTGTCGCCAAAGTAGTAAGTATATTGTCCACTATATATACATATATAGAAGTATAAAGCATGAAGCCCTACATGCAAGATATCTATTTGTCGCTGATATATGTGTGTTGTTGTACACCCCTTGGGAAGACCATGACCATGGAACTACAGTAGTCATTCACACAGTACATATGTCCAAGAGCCTGGGCCTTGCTTGCAGCTGTTAACAAGAAGTCAGACCGGATTTGGGCACGGAGAGTTTCTCTGGGGAATGTGAATCACTAATTTACTGTCTGGCAAAAAAAAACTGAATTGTTGTAAACACTTGAGGCCTTCGGACTTTGAACTACGACTTTGAATGATAGTTTCACTAACATGTTGAACCAATTCAAACAAAGGTCCAGAGTAAAACAGGAACTTGAAACTCACATGCTACGGCAGATGGACAGGAGATGAAGGACTGTACCGTACCTTCCATTTGTTAATTTGTGTGCACAATTGACCCAGCACATGAGCTTCCTTGCCAGAACAATCGTTCAAAAAGCAATCCACCGGTCGATGAGACGGAACACTACTACACTACACTTGCAGTTTTCTTGAAATCGGTTTCGAGTCCAGGTTGTTCTTCTCTCCAGGGCACCTTTTGAACCACCGTTTGATTGATTACCTTAGAAGTTGGTAGTTCTCAAACCGCGAGCTAATTCTTCCGCAGATATCCAACTCCAGAGCGAGGGCACGAAGAATGTACATTGTTGTGACCATGATCAGCGTATGCCAACCTCGTCGCAGGTCCACAGCAGATGCCAGAATCAAGAGACGTGTTGCTCCGAGTGATAGTGGATCAAAATGTTGGAATGGACCGAATGGAGTCACCTCTTTATTTTTGGCCCCTCTGACATTGCATTGTCATGCCTGCAACATCGCCCAACGGTGCTCTTTCACCATCAGAATCACTGTCTGTTTGTTATATGAGAAGTAGGTGTTTCTGCTATGAAGTAGTAGTAGGCCTCATGGATTGTGTGAAACATGAAACGAGCAAGATCTTGTTAGCAACATCTTCTTGGTCGACATACCGGATTTTTCTTTGCATTTGATATATTCCTGTTGCTGCCATAAGCATGTTCACCGCCGCCAGGTTATAGTTTTTCTGCACCCTCCATCCCATGTACCAGGTTTGTACTAGACAGCAATTTCGTGTCAGAACTTTTTGCTTCTGTGACCTGTTTTCTAATGTCAATTTCAACTGTTGTGTGTTTGAAATGACCAGCCTTCTCCGAGAGAAGAATTCTTATTCCGAATCAATTTTATTGATTTTATTACTTGGTGCGAGGGCATGGAGGCTGACTCTGGTGAAGACCAGAGTCGTTCACTGCCACTACAGAGGAAGCTTACCGGCACAATGACCACCGAATAGCGACACCATATAACTGCTGAAGTCGTCAAGGCTGCGTTGAACAAGAAAGTCATCAACAGCTGCTGTGATCAAATCAAATTTGGGGCAATGATTCATCTCCACATTGGCTGAACCGTAGGTTTGAGACATGCGCACTGAGGGAAGTTGACCGATGGCAACGGCGTGTGTTGTTTGGAGTTGGCATCTGGGAGACACTACGGACCGAAACGACATTTGTTCTTTCCCAGATTTAGTTCAGGTCATGCCATCGCAGAACAAAATCTGACCTGCCTGCTGATTGAAAGATATCATTTCTGGAGGCTTTTGAAAATCAAGAATGTTGATAAACGATATTCCCCACTTCATTGCAGGAGCCCAGAAGAAAACTGCACGATCCAGAATATTCGATATGAGAGATCGTTCAAGGTAAGCTGGAACGACGAAATGACCAACGAGTGAGATGATAGACAAAGAGAAAGAAACAGACGAGAAACGCAGGATGGACAAACTTGTCTTCGGGCCAGCAGGATGATTCCAAAACGAAGCCAATTTCGACGCCATCTTCACGACGAAGATTTTATTCCTGTATACCAAACTCTCGGCCTTTCCCGGCGATTTGCAACTGCCCTTTTGCTCTGACCGCTCCTACTCAAGCCCACCCGACCGGCGCAAAGTTGCCATAGCTAGCACCGACGTATTCGGCTCTCCTTCGAAAATCATCAGACGAGGATCATGAAATCCCATGTGGGTTTCGAAACAACGAATTCATCGTCGAGAAACCAATTCATCACGGCGGTCCACCCATGGGTCCCACCGACAAAATGCACCGAAGCGTTCATAAGGTCCCAGGGGGAGGACTCGCCGCTTTTCGCCCGTGCCTACTTTACTTACTTATCTGCAAGTTAGGCCCCGCTAAGCTGTGACTTACGGACGTTGGCTTACGTGCTCGTTGCTCAAAGCTCGCGCCCACCTCCACGTGTCCGTTGCGGCAGGGCAGTGCAACTGTATGGGACTTGTATCGAGTATGACGGACCTGACCATGGGTACGCTGAAGTTGACTCTCCGTCAAAGACAGACATTAGGTTTAGGGCTGTTGGCGAATTAGTCGGTTCAGGACACAGGGCACAGGGGCTTTATCGTCGAGCACCAGGGGAGAGAGCTCGAATGAGGTGGACGAGAATTTAGCATGTGAGCAAGTGCAGGAGACAGACAGCAGGGGCGTGTGTTCAGTGAAGCAGGTCCTGGAGTGGTTGTTGGATAGATATATAGATAGATTGATAATTATAAGGGCAGTTTGGAGACGAGTGTTTGCTGAATTGAGTGTGCGGAACGGGAAGGTATTGAAGATTCAGCTCCTCCAGGGCTTTGCCTTGCCGCGCAGCTGTAGGGGTGGGAGCCATGGACGAGGTGGAGGCCAAGGTTGCGGAGGTTGAACTGGCAGCTGACGCGGGAGAGAAGGCTCCTGTCGCGAAGAAGGAGAAGCCCAAGAAGGAGAAACCGGCGAAGAAGGAGAAAGCTCCTCAAGCTGCAGGTGTGTATTTCGATCGATGGTGCTTAGGACGATCCGGTCGAATTCCGAGTGAGAATGAGAATGACAATTTACTGACGAGCTTGGGTTTATATACTGCTGATTGAGGTGCGGTTCTTCGCTTGGGGCGCCCTCAGGTGATGGCAAGAAGGAGGTGAAGGAGACTCAACTCGGAATTTCAGCGAAGAAGGATGACAATTTTAGCTTATGGTACTCACAGGTGGGATGGGAAGCCAACTCCCACATTGTATTGTTTCCTTCCATTCTTTTTTCTCTTGGGAAAGATTCTGACGTTACATCCGCTTCAGGTCGTCACTCATGGTGAAATGATTGAGTACTACGATGTTTCGGGATGCTACATCCTGCGTCCCTGGTCTTACGCGATGTGGGAGTCGATCAAGGTGGGTTCTCTTGAGCATTGGTCAGCATCTGCTGCAACTTATATTGTAGATAGAATGCCGTGACCCTCGCAGTAACTGAAATTCGAACGGCAATGATTCTGCAGGACTTCTTTGACGCCGAGATTAAGAAACTAGGAGTGAAGAATGCGTACTTTCCTCTGTTCGTATCTGAGAAAGCTCTGATAAAGGAGAAGGATCATGTCGAAGGGTTTGCTCCGGAGGTATAGTTTTTTGCAAAAGGATCAGTAGATCGTTGTAAACAGAATCTGCGGTGATCGGGAGCCTACTTATGGCCCAATTTTGACAATGTGAACTACAGCACCTGCTGAAGATACGTGGTGGTCAGTTAGCATGCAACATCGTAACTAAGGATATTCCAGGATATTATTTCTGCTTGAAAGCATCCTCTCCACACAATTGGGCAGTTCGTCACGTGCCTGTCCGGCTTCTTGGACGAGACTGCTTAATTTCTTATCTAGCTCTAGGAACAATTGTTCAAAAACTTGACAAGCGTTATGTGCTTCAGCTTTACGTGCACATATGTGCATATCTGCCGTATGGAACATTAAACAAGTTCCAGCTGGTCTGTAGGAGTAGAAAATTTAAACTTGACTTTCTCAGGGATAAGGCTTTTGGCTACAGTTGTTGACCTTCCACAGCTACACGCCACTTGGGGCTTAGAATACTCTCCTGGATTGCGTACTTGTCGTGTGGTGAACGAAGGTTTCTGTTGCCCTCATGGAGAATCGGGGTTGCCCAGCTGACCCCTCAGAAGGATGAAATGTTTCGCATCTTGAGAGTTGTCTGACTCGATACGTATGAATTTACAACAGTAGTTGGGGCTGTTGAGATGAACAGGTGGATCAGCTTGTGAGAGGGTTTTTTCGGAAGGGTAGACAATTGGAAATCTCCAATCAACCTTACCTCGGGAGACAAATTCCACTACGTTATTTTGTTCATCTTTTCAGACGGATCGCTCTCTTTCCATTTCCTTCATATTCCTTTTGCAATGTTACTTTCACAGCTAAGCTAGGACGTGGGGTCTGCGGTTTTAGACGATGGAAGGGAATTTCTGACGAGTACAGGGTGTCTGTAGGTGGCTTGGGTGACGCGATCGGGCAACTCAGAGCTTGAAGAGCCGATAGCAGTTCGTCCTACCAGTGAGACTGTCATGTATCCAATTTTCTCGAAGTGGATAAGAAGTCATCGTGATCTTCCCCTGAAGCTCAATCAGTGGTGCAATGTTGTTCGATGGGAGTTCAAAGATCCCACTCCTTTCATCAGGTGAGGTGCTCAGTCAAATTCTGTGAAAAGTATCAGGAACTTAGCTCGCTGAACTATGTTACTGACCAATCCATTGTCGTTGAACTTTAGGAGTCGAGAGTTTCTGTGGCAGGAAGGACACACCGCATTCGCCACCAAGCCAGAAGCAGATGAGGAGGTACGAACGGGTTCATCTGCCCTGATATTTGCGTTGGAAGGTCAGTTAGGTACATGCGATGACAATGTACTAACGAGAAAATTGTAGATGTAGGTGCTGGCAATTCTGGAGTTGTACCGCAGAGTATATGAGGAAGTCCTTGCCGTTCCCGTCATAAAGGGAATTAAGAGCGAGTTGGAGAAGTTTGCCGGAGGGTTATACACGACGACTGTGGAGGTATAGTTGACGCAAGTCAAACAAATCTATGTGAGAAAGTTTGCATAGAAAATCTACTCAACATAAGGCTTGATGAAAATTCCCGAGATTTCTAACTTTCCGTCGGATCACTCTTGCAGGCGTTTATTCGCAACACAGGAAGAGGGATACAGGGAGCTACCTCTCACTGTCTAGGCCAAAACTTTGCCAAAATGTTTGAAATATATTTTTTAAACGACAATCGAGAACGCAAGATGGTTTGGCAAAACTCGTGGGGTCTCACCACACGAACGGTACACTCCCACCGAAACTCGCCCACTGCACTGTTTTTTGAAACTTTGTGAGATTCACGTGTATGTCTGACCTTCCGACCGTCGTTACCTTTCTCATGAAGTTTCTCTCGTTGACTCAGATCGGAGTCATGGTGATGGTTCACGGAGATGACAAGGGTTTGGTTTTGCCTCCAAGAGTAGCTCCAGTGCAGGTTGTGATCATTCACATTCCCAGCAAGGATATTGAAACGAATGTGCTCATTGAATCCTGTAAAGAAATCGCCAAAGAACTTCGGGACGCGGGTGTGAGAGTGGAGGAGGACTATCGCGACAACTACAAACCTGGCTGGAAGTTTTCCAATTGGGAAATGAAGGGTGTTCCTTTGCGAATTGAGATTGGACCCAAAGATGTTGCCAGCAAGCAGGTAATAAAAAGTATTTCTCGTGGGAGGTCGTCTATCGTCGTGTTATACTGATTAGCAGTTATATGAGAAGCTTCGTCGTCTGCTACTTTCCTTCCTCATTCGCGGACAGAATGTCAATGTACGAGATCGTACCAAAAATCGGTTGGGAGGGAGGACTTACCGTTCTGTTCATGATTGGTGCAGGTGAAAGTAGTCCGTCGTGATGATGGAGGAAAAGACTTCATCTCTGTAGAGAACATCGGAGACTCGATCAAGAACCTTTTGGATGTCGTGCAAAAGAGCATGCTCGAGAAAGCGACTAGAGAGAGGGACTCGTGCATAGTCCAAGCAAGAAGTTGGGATGAGTTCATGGCTGCCTTGAACAACAAGAAACTGGTCATGGCACCCTGGTGTGATGAAAAGGTAGCATATCTTTTAAATGTCAATGTTTCTGATAACCATTTGCATGACTTTGAGATATCTTCGTCTAGTTTTGTATGTGCTTAGGGCGGTTTTGTCAACATAACGAAATTCTATGTTCCTTTTGTTACACTCACAGGAAGTGGAAGAACAGGTTAAAGAGCGGACTAAAGCTGACCTCAGTGGAGCCGCAAAGACTTTATGCATGCCTTTTGAACAGCCCGAGTTGCCTGAAGGTTACTTATCTGTCACATCATACTTCACCTCCTTTGTTTTTCAAATTCAGTAGGAACTGTGGGAGTACTGAGTAGTGGATACTGCCATGACCTCTTTGTATATCTTAATTCTTCCTTCCTTTTTGAGTCGTGGTCATTCTCACAAAGCGGAGCTTTAAGTCTTAGTGCATCGACTTCAGTGTGTGTAGTTGCGTTAACCACGAGTAGTGTTAATTGAGTCAGAGACTTCCAAAGTCAAGTCGTTGTCAGATGTCTAATATTGTGAGGGCTCCGTACATCGTTCTTGGAATGAAGAGATTCAGTAGAGAAGGCGGGAAAGTTTTCTGAAGGGCGTGGCGTAGTTGGCGTAAGACGTGAATATGCTGACGTGCCTTTGTTTCCTCATGTGCAGGGACGGTATGTTTTAGTTCTGGTAAGCCTGCGAAGAAGTGGGCACTATGGGGACGAAGTTATTGAAACTCTCAATTTTATTATATTCATGATTCGTCATCCATTTTTAAAAGTTCATTTCGGAAATTCTTTTACCCCAAAGTGGGCATATCCGCCGAGATTGGGACTTGTTGAGTTACTTCGTAAATTCTAGTTTTGACTCTACGACTTGTGTTTACTTGTTCCCATGTCGGACGATCAAAATTTGATTACGAGCATGGATGCTGTCTGAAGCCCCCGTGGACTTGCTATTATTCTGTATTCAGTCAAGTGACCTTTGACTTACAAACTCGGCATCCTGGCTAGGAGGCTATTGGTGGGTTTCTAAGACAGATTATATCACCTACTCGCCAACTTACCGTCCGTCGTACTCATATCAAATTAATCATCGAAACGTACCCACACAGTAATCTTTTCATAGTGCCGGGTGAAGACAACAAGGTATCAAAATCCTAAAATATACGGCTTGAAAATCAACAATTGGCCAAACACGGAAATTTGTAAGTTCTTTTTGTTATTACTAAGTGTCCCAGGGAATACGCGTCTTAAATTACAAGATCTGCACGTGGTAATAGTACTTTACACCACGTATAAGCCAAAGTCTCCGAAGTCCTACACTCCTACCATTTCAGAAAGCTCATAAGATACGAGATACTTACTACATTTTCGTCTTTTTGACCACTATCTAACGCTTGCAAACACATGCATAATGTCTGTCGTTAGGTTACAAACAGGCATGCTTGATGTGATCGGTCGGAGGCCGGGCCGTCCAAGCTATACTCCGCGTGCGCGCTAATTATGCTAGATTCATCGTTGATTTCCGATGGATAGACTATAGATCTTGATTACGTGTGAAATAAGTCTAATCTTCCATCTAATGTTTCTATCCTCGCCAAGCCCTCGGTACATTCTATTTCACCTATATCACTATCGTCTGCTTACTTGTGTGAAATAAGTCTAATCTTCCACCTAATGTTTCTATCCTCGCCAAGCCCTCGGTACATTCTATTTCACCTATATCACTATCGTCTGCTTACTTGTGTGAAATAAGTCTAATCTTCCACCTAATGTTTCTATCCTCGCCAAGCCCTCGGTACATTCTACTTCACCCATATCACTATCGTTTGCTTACTTGTGTGAAATAAAGTCCAATCTTCCATCTAATGTTTCCATCCTCGCTAAACCCTCGGTACATTCTATTTCACCTATATCACTATCGTTTGACTACTTGTGTGAAATAAGTCTAATCTTCCACCTAATGCTTCTATCCTCGCCAAGCCCTCGGTACATTCTACTTCACCTATATCACTATCGTTTGCTTACTTGTGTGAAATAAAGTCCAATCTTCCATCTAATGTTTCCATCCTCGCTAAACCCTCGGTACATTTTATTTCACCTATATCACTATCGTTTGCTTACTTGTGTGAAATAAGTCTAATCTTCCACCTAATGCTTCTATCCTCGCCAAGCCCTCGGTACATTCTACTTCACCTATATCACTATCGTTTGCTTACTTGTGTGAAATAAAGTCTAATCTTCCATCTAATGTTTTTATCCTCGCTAAACCCTCGGTACATTCTATTTCACCTATATCACTATCGTTTGCTTACTTGCACCATCAATAGCAACATTCATAATCTCGCTCTTATCGTTGACTTTACATGGTCTGGGTCCTACATTATCGTTCCATTCGCCTTTGCACATGACATCTGTCTAGAAAGCGGACATTCATTTATTTCACTCCCAGTCTCTTCCTATCCTAAATAAAGTCGAACAGGGAGCATTCAACACACTTCCGAATTGCCACCACCCTTCTGATATCAGTCCTCAAGGCCCCAATCACTAGTTGTACCTGTACTCCTTATCTGTCTAAAAAGATATGACAGCCGAACATCTTATACCCATCCCCTTCTCTCTTCCACTGAAAGATACAATTGATGAGGTAGTCTAAGCTGAGAATGGTTAGCCTATTTGAGTTACTTCATAGTAAAAATTTTACAGGCCGCTACAACAGTCTTGTGGCGAAATTGTTGCTAAATAAACGAAAGCAATAGCATCCTTCAACATTGTAAGCTAGTAGCGTGCTGCAAATAAGCCCGCAGTCATTCCAGTATGTAGTTGGGATTCACAGCTAAAATACGCTCGTTCACTACTGATATTTGTGGTCTCTTTCTAGAACTACTTTCTCCCTGGGCTTCATCCGATGGTGGGACTGCAGCTCTAATAAAGCTCATATTTACACACCGCCTAAAGTAAGGTCTCCTGATGGGACTAAGTTAAACTAATTTAGGTGCCGGACTATACTAAGTACGCCTCGATATATATTATAGAGTAAAATGATATATCGACATTCTTTTAAGAATACCAATGTAATATCTCAAAAATTAACAAATTTTTAAATGTTAGAAAAATTCTCTGGATTGTTTGCGAGGAACTCGGTGAAGTTTATCCTGCTGTATATTGTTAGCATTTGATCCTACGAAGAGATATCAGTACATTTTGTTCCGGATGGCAAAGTTTTTAGTCCCAGTGGACATGCCACAGCTGCAGAATCCGGTCTCTTCCAGTCATGCCTGAAGTTCTGATAATTAACACTCTCTGGCCTAAATGCTTCACTTCGCAGTCATCATCAGTGCCACAGCACATTGTCGATCGGCCAAGCATTTGTTAATCTCTCGATGAGGATGGTAAAATCGGAAGTACACGATCAACGGCGGCCCAGGCACAAGCCAATCAGCCAGCTTACGTTCATGCTCAAGTAACTCAGATAACGAAAATGGGAGGAGACTACGAATGGCTGGCTGCTTATGCCTGAAATGCAGATTGTCCTTTACACTGATCCAGAACCTTGTCATCAGTTTCAGATAGTCACCATAATCACCTCCATTACGGTTACGTCTGTTTGTTGACTCAATTTGTTCTTTACTGTCACACGAGCGAACGAGAGAGAGAGATAAGCTCTAATCTGTTTTAGCTTGCTGTGGCTTCGTACCTGTCGATGGGGTTCCATCGACTGATTTTGTTTCTGGCTAAATGCTCATCGTCTCACCTGCACCTGAATCGCAACTGCCAATGAAGGACATGACAGGCTGGTCTCATCGGCCCGGGAAGCTGGGACGGCACCGAGATGCACATCGCAGAAGCCGGTGCTGGACACATTGTCTGTCTGCTGTGGCGAGCGAAGATCTGAAACTGACTGACACACAGATCCTTCTCGATCCGTCAGTCCGTCCGTCGATTTGGAGCTCTTGGGAGCTGGAATCTGGAATCATCGGTTGCTGAAATATGCCTCATGGATGGCGATGGCATGGACTGGGATGCCCCGATGGCCCTAAATAATAATTATCAGAGAATAAATATTCATAAGTTTTCAGCATTTGGAAACTACATAGCGATACATCAGGTGAACTTCTGAACCCTTTCCTCGTCGAAAAGGAGTGCACAATAATCGATTGATAGAGAAACATGATGTGAGATCCGTAAGGAAATAAACTGAACGGGTAAGTTGAGAATTCACAATGTGAAATGTCCTTTCTAGGCGAAAACATTCTCAAAGAACTGAACGTAAAAATTCAGCACGTAGTGTGTGAATGGTTTGTTCCCGTTGGCATTGAAAATTATCTTAATTAAGAATTTTAATATTTAAGTAATTGGATTGAAAAACAGAATGTGATATCGTGCGAAATTTTTTTCGAACAACTTAAGATCATAAAATAGTGATAAATCATGTCACTATCACGTCAGCCTTATTATTAATGTGAAAATTGTAGATCATATTCTCTATAGAATATCTGACAGTATTCTAGATAAAATATCTAATTTGAGAAAAAAATGTTTCTATTAAAAGTATTTCATTAACATCAAAATATTAACAAACTTTATATATATAAGTTACATTACATATTAAATTTATGCTAGTTATTTATATTCAGGTGCTGTGACACAACAAATTTTACAATTATGAATTACATTAGATATTAAAGTTATTTTAGCTATTTATATTCAGGTGTTGTGACACAACAAATTTTCCAGATATGAATTATATTAGATATTTAAGTTATTTCTGTTCAGGTGCTGTGACACATACATCTAATGAGATATTATCCTTGGAATTCATCGATAGGTCGACATGTCTAAAAAAATGATTGAGCAAAATGGATTGTATGAAATAGTTCCTGCCCTTGTGGACTCGATCAGATCATGCTGAAGCCAACGCACGTGTCTATGAAAATGGGAAAGATTCCGTTCGGGTGGGAAATTTGCAGATAATGCGGTACGGGCGATGGTGATGGACCTGGCAACAAAACCGCCCTCGGGCCCCACTCGTGCTCGAGCTCGAGCTCTCATGCTCGCCAAATCAAAGCGGCTCCGCTCATGGCACAATGATTGCCACGCATCCTTGCCAATGCGAGAGCGACGAAAGATCAGATCCGACCTGTCGCAACAGACGGATCGGCAGACACCCGAACGAGGCCTCGACAGCAGCTCCTCGATCCCTCTCGAGACTGTGAGCCCTGGAATCGCTGCAATTTTCAGGCCACGAGTCTCATCTCATCTCATGGTGCAGGATTATACTTGTATGTGTCCACGCTTGCACGGGGCCTGTCTCTGTACGTGGCTACGGTTTCGGGGGTTGGAATCCAATCCCCATGCTCGAAGTTGCTGCAATCGTTCGAGTTCTTGTTAGTAATTCCTCACCCCCCTCGTCCCTCAGGGCCTGTGATCGAAGGCATTCATTCATTGTCCATCGAATTGCTCGTGCACGTAAAGCAAGATTAGAAGAGATGAGATTGATACGAGATTGGGATGGGAGAATTCCCGACGCTGGTTTCACATTTCCCGCGCATGTACGTGACAGAAAGGGTGAGGCCATGGCGAGGCCCGAGTGCAGGATTGGACACAGGGTCAACGACTCATGGGGAGATGTGGCGTTGCGATGGCAAGTGATCGATTCGACCGTGAGCGAGGGCTCGCTAAATTGCGGCCAGTGATTCGTGTTCGCCCCAGTGGCCTCGGATCGCATGTGGTCGGAAGTCCGCGATGACAAAATCTGGCTCGCACGCATGTTGTCATTATGATCCATGGACGAATATGGATCCAGATAGAGAGAATCTTGCCCTGCCTGCAACAGACATTGCCTCGCCGCCGCCGCCGCCACCTCCGCCGCCATCTCTTGGGCAATTTTCTAAGCGCAATGTTCGGTGTCGATTCGCATCTCGCTGCTTCTGGACTCGACTTGACTCAGACGCTCGGGTATGGGAGGATGATGATGCATGTGCTAAGGAATGAGAAGCTCAGTGAGTACTCGGCGACCAGCGCAAGCAAGCAAGTAAGTTATGGAGGCACTTTATCCTCGACGCGTAATGTTGAAGGATTAGAAAGCGATGGCTGAATCTGAGCGAAGGTGCGTTGCAATAATTCATTCTCAATGCGAGACGAAGTTCCTCGTTCGGGGCTGAAGACAGGCCGACACAGCTCTGTACTCGGAAGTCGAGAGCTCCGGTCGGCAGACAGACAGACTTCCACCGACTTGTCGCTGCTGCTGGAGCTCTCGCAGCGCATGAGTCTCAGCATTTGCTGCGCCCATGGCTCCACAATCCTGATGCTGTAAGGTAATCCACCACTGACGGCGTCTGATGCGAAATTGAGGAGGGGTCAGGACATTGTCCACAAAACTCCACTCTCGCGAGGAAGGAGGAGCTGCAGCAGCCTGTCGGTATCATGACGAGTGAAAAGCATCAATCTCATTCATAGCTCTGCGGTTCGCGACGAAAGAATATTTCTCGCTGAATCTGCTTGAATTGAATTCCATCGAATTGAAGAGAGACGTACCTCCACTCGACAAACCCGTCGGTCGATGAGGGTGTGACTTTCTTTCCACCTCGCTAGCTCGCTCGCTCGTCCAGAGACTTCACAAATCATTGCAAATAGATGCCTTTCTTTGAGTCAATGCTAGAAGGAAATCGATGGAACGAAATCGTGAATCCGAAATCACTGTCAGCAGCTCACGCTGCTCGAGGTTTTACATCATCGGGTTCACGAGTTTCGTGGCTGCAGGCCACGAGGATCATCGGCCTGCAGCGATTGCCGTGCAGTGACTCAAAGAAGGGTATATATCAGCAAGAATCTGGGATTAAATCCTGCGCAAGCTCGTTCATTCCTTCGTCCCATGGAGCATGGAGGATGGAGGATGTCCGCGCTCAGCGCAAGGCGCCGATGGATGGCCGGCCACATGCGCGACTCGCCCGTCGCCCGAATCGTCTGCAATCTGGTACAATTGCCGACCCACGGGCCTCGCCCGTGCCAATTGTACCGAGGGAGTTGGGGGTGCAGGAGGAGGGTGGAAAGTGGAGCAATTCGGTTGCGCGGGGTCAGAATTGGGCTCGATCGGACCGACTGGCGACGTGCGAGTGACGAGAAGCGTGGCGCTGAGCTGCCGGCGCACCATTTGGCGCTCGTAAGATGACGCGAGGATGGCGAGCCGGATTCGGTGCGCTGGTGCAGATTGTCGAGGTGCGGCAGTCGATGACACTCGGCCGAGGGATGGCTGATGCGAGCATCTCGGCCTCCACGACCTCGCCTGCGCATCGCCTCCGTGTGCATCAGTTCCCTGCTGACACCATCGCTCGCTCGCTCGCTCATCGGCACGAGAAACTCCTCCCCGACTCTCGGGCCCCGATCCCCTGGCCTCCCGGCCATCGCTGCGAGCAATCGGGGAGTACAATTGACACCCCCGGAGGCATGCTGCTGCTGCTGCTGCTGACAGCACCGAGGCCACCATCCGATTCCCAGCGTCGGGTCGTGCAGCTCCTCGACTCCTCGACATGCACTCGAGCCCGGCGCCCGTCCTTGTGCGTCTCGTCTCACCACCGAATCCCAATCGTCCGCGAGAGGCCATGCCAATCACTCCGAGACGGTCGCTGCGAATTCGACGAGGGACGACGCAGGGATTCACAATTCCCAATCTTTCGGCTCTCGTCGTGGCGAGCGACGTGCAGTCCAAGAAGTCGGATCTTGTTCGAGCCGAGAGAACCGAACCCTGATTCAAGACGACGGCTGCTGCTGCTGCTGCTGCTGCTGCTGGGCTTTGAATCCGAGCCTTGCAATCCGCCCGAGCTCGATCGTGCCATAGGGTGATCACGAGGGCTAAGTGGCTGTGAGCAGACGATCGGGATCGAGATGCCATGAATTCGGTGACTCGAGAACAAGAAAGCAGATTCCAAAATCAAGGAAGCCTCGAGCGATGATCGATTCGAGTCTGAGTCAAGTCGACTCGAGTTGGCAGAATTTGGCCTCTTGCAGTGAGCGGAGGATGGAATGACGAGCGAGCGAAATCTGCGAATCCAGCGAATCCAGCGAATGTTGGGCTCGGGGCTGGTCCGAATGGCGACCACGCTCGTCGTCGTCGTCGTCGTGCATGGTGAGGATCGGGAGGCACACTGTGTCAGATAAGCTGCGGCCGAACGTGTGGACTGCATGAAAGTCCAGCAGAAAAGAAAAGATCACGTCACGCCCGACGACCCAAAGCGCTTCCCCCGCACGAAGGCCTCGCGCCATTCTTCCCACCCCGAGCCAAGCAAAAGAAAGGCTCTCGGCGATGCGTGCACGACTCCAGCCAGCCACGTCCTCCTCCATCGAGCCTTCCATCGATCAATCGAGAGGGAGCTCGGCGGCTGCAGGACGATCCTCTCATCCTTCTTCGAGGACGAGAGAATTCTTGAGCCCTCGACGTCCATGGCATCGGAGGCTTCGGGAATTCTCGAAGGAAGGAAGGAAGGAAGGAAGGAAGGAAGGGGCCAGAGAGACCTGCAGAGCAAGAACTGCGATCGGGATCTTTACTACCGGTCGCCGGAGCCAGAGCCAGAGACAGAGGGAGCCCTCCGCCCCGAGGTACCCACCCCCCCGGGGATTCAGGGGGGGGCACGTGGCACGGGATCGCGAGCACGATGGGTTCTTGCGAGCGAGTCTCGCGCAGACTGGAGCGATCGATTGAAGGATTGAAGGATTGATGGATCGATCCCGTGAGATGCACGATTCGGACATCTCTCTCTCTCTCTCTCTCTCTCGTCGTCCTCGCTCGCACGCCTGCCCGATTCGCGATGCGTCCATGCGCCGGGCCCACGTGCGATGGCCCGATGCAGGAATCTGCGCGCTCGAGCTCTCGTCGCCCGCCGCTCACGAAAGCTCCGCCATCGAGACTCCACCAGCTCGACGCAGACACGCCAGCCTCCCCTCTGCCATCGACACGCCTCCTCCTCCTCCTCCTCCTCCTCCTCGGTCTGACTGCACCTCCGATTGGCCGCCATTGGAGACTTGCTCCCGGGACCAGAGCAGTGCAACCGAAGCTGCAGCAAATTTATGCGGCAATGCGGCCCTCGGAGCTGCTGGCACTCTCCGGCCGCAGCAGCTCTCTCGCCCGATCGATCAGTCGGTCTCCTCGAGCATTCGAGTGCATGCGTAGGGTTCGATCTCGATCTTGTAGACATTCGAACTCGATCCGATTCAGTGATGGATCCTCCCTTCCTCCCTCCCTCCCTCCCTCCCTGCCTCCCTCCCATGGAACGGCAGCATTGGAAGCTCTGGTGCATTGCATGCACAGCTTTCGGATTCATTTCGGACCTGCTGCTGCTGCCTCGTGGCCTCTCAGCTAAATATTTGATCGCTGCTCTCTATGACGATGATCGCGACGAGGAGGAGGAGGAGGAGAAGCGTGTTGTGATCGAGTTCGTTGCAGAAAATCCACTCGACGCTTGAGCTCCAGAGAGAGAGAGAGGGAGGGAGGGATTGTAATTCTTGACGTGGAGGAAAATTGAGGGAGGGAGGGAGGGAGCATGAGAAATCGGAAATGCTCGGACATGGAGGGAGGGAGACGAGACGGCCAAGGTGCGGATGAAAGAGGCGCAGGGCAGGGCAGGACAGTGCCAGGGCCAGCGGCGAATCATGCGATCATCGATTGTAACTGCCGCGCCTCTAATTGTACTCGCTCCATCCTCTGTCGTACCTTCCTTCCTCCCTCTGCCTCGCGCTTCATCCACATCTCTCATCGCGGCGAGCATTTGCGCGCCAGCTCGCCGTGGTCGCCGCTGCAACAAGAGCCAGCCTCAAGAGCAAGCAAGCGTCGGGTGGATTCCGATGTCGACATCTCGACCATCGTGCAGCAGACTTCGGCAGGCAGGCAGGCAAGGAAAGCAGAGATGGAGCGAGGGAGCGAGGGAGCGAGGGAGCGAGTGGTGTTGATTTCTGTGCGGGATGTGCACGAGCGCCTCGAAGCGCGTATCGTGGCGATCGTGCCCGGGACGGTGAATGAATGAATGAATGAATGAATGAAGCACGAAGCGTCTCGATCGTGGTTTGCTATGGAGCGACATCGAGAGCTGCAATTCGAGCGCGAGAGAGACGAATTGGACGGAGCATCGATCCATGGGGGGCCGAATTCAATCACGTGCACCCGTGGGTGTCCGATGGAGTGACGAGAATCACTCGGCCGAGGACTTACGAAGCGGAGCGCCTCGGACTTCGAGACTCGATGGTGCAATCCGTCCCCGCCCTCGGTGCAGTCGCAGGTGTTGTTCGCTCCGTAGAGCCGATCGATCGATCGATCGATCGCTCGCTCGATGGCTCGACATCCCGACACTCGCTCCGAGGCCTTGCCCGTACTCATAAATGGGGGCACCCCGCGCGTGATTCGACCCACCGCCTCCGAGTCGCCGCTACAGAAGGTGCCCATGAAGACTGATCGAGCTCCGATCGGATCCCGACGTGATCGAGTAACGCCCGATCGAGATCGAGATCGCCAGCATCGAGGCACTCGTTGTACCTTCGACGCTATTCTGCCCTCCATGACATTTGCCACTGCAGCGAATTCAGTGCAAATGGCAAATCTTCCTTTCTTTCCATGTTAGCGACCGGATCCTCATTCGAATGAATGAATCGAATGAATTCACTGACAGCACGGGGACCTGATCGACCTTCTTCTTCGTAATCTTCTTCATCTTCACTCCAATCGCTCCATGAGGCTCTCTTTCAGTCGGAGATGACATGATCGAGCGATTTATTGTAATTTAATGGACACGCAAAGATCCGATCGTCGTGTATCGTGACAGCAAGTGAAATGGACCGCAAATTCTCTGACTTCGAAGGCTCGAGGGCTTGTCGATACGCTCACTCGCCGCTGCACCATAAATTACATCTGACAGAAAGCTTGAAGTCCGCATGCTCTTCGAACAAAGAAACGTCGAGTCCAAAGAATAGGACGGGATACAAACGACAGAAGGCAAACACTCCTCTGCCACTCCGTGCCATGATGGTGAGAATTCCAAACGAGAGAACTCAGATGCACATCGTCCCCAGGCGCAGTTCTCGAGGCCAGTCCCCAGGACAGAATGAACTTTTCGGGCGACATCATGCACCACATTCGCACTCTCTGTGGAAAAACATGACAATTGCTCGTCTTCTTATGACTCGCTGCTCAAGCCTATTTAGCTCAATCTGTCCATGGTTCAGAGCATGTTCCAGCCTCAATACATTAGCTGCTCTGCGCCATCTCCTGCTCTGGAGGGCCGGCCAGTCAAGTCACACACAGGGAGCTGAGCACAGGGAGCTGAGCTCACCTGACACAGAACCATACGACTGGGAGAAAGCCGTGCTACTGGAGTCTCTGTAAACAACCGAGTTCCACTCGGGGAGGCTATGGAACTTATCTTCAGCCGGTAGATAGAAGAGGTGAAAACTCCGTTTTAGCTTTCAAGTGGCTTCAAATCTTCGACCAATCTTCATAACCGGAGAACAAGCTGCGTGCGTGGTGAGCAGTTGGGTACTCCAGTCTGATACGTAAGTTTAGAGTACACCAATTGCAGTAGAATGCATCACTGACACTGACAGCGACACATTCAGGAAAGCAGCGTTTTCAAACCGTCTGGCTGGTGTGATCACGAGCACCACTGGGTCAGGTGAACTACTGCGTGATCAGACTCGGAGCAGGTCACGTGGAGGGACTATGAAGAAACAAAGTTCACTCACACGTGTTCCGATCGAGCTCATCGGAATTTGGGCACTAAATGACATCGACTTGCATGTTCGCTTAAGACAGCAAGTTTGTGTTGCTCAAATGTTGCTCAAACTTTTTGGAGGTTCTTACACGATGGAGGAAGTTGGAGGAAAATTAACCAGGCCTACCCTGTCACATATTGCCACACGCGGGAATCGATAAATATTTTTCATGAGCATGTCCTTTAAAAATGTTCTATTTGGGCTGATTTTGTAGTTACCTAGACTGACCAGAAAGCATATTCAGCTCACTGTTCAAGCCGACAACACCCAGACGCAATGAAGGTTGTCCAACAAATCACTTCAAGAATCCAGTTTGTGAATGCACAAGCTAAGCAAAAAAGAAGCCGTCTCACCAACAAGCTGCTCTGACTTAACAAGAGTCTCAGGATGTATCAAACATCAGATTCACAAACTGCTGTGTCTGTACAGCCGATACGAATCAGGTCAAGTACAAAGCAGGTTGTATTGAGCTGACAACCGTCTCTCATTTTATCATCTTCCCTCATCTACGATGCTCGAATCTTCATCTACATTCGTCACCCCATTCTACATGTGTACCTTGAAACTGAAACCATGACCCAGTCTCTAACTTGAGAATATCGTTCATTGAGGTCAAAATCTCTTTGATTTCACAATTTAAGAAGCTGGATATTCGGAGTGATGCCTCTCTACAATCCGGTGCGTCTGCATAGAACATCCACATGATCCCATCAGCAGCATGCGGTTCTTGGGATCAACAACCTGCATTCGGGGAGAAGGCTGACCCTAAGTTCTCAGACAAGCGCATACACCTGCATGAAAGAAAACATGTGCTCATGCATCATGAACTTCAGCTTCATGACGACAGTAAAGCTCACCAGTTTGCAAATTTGTGTCACGTTTTTTATTTACACGTTGTTTTCGTACGTAAGCACGTTCTTCACCAAATGTCGACTCCACTTATCCCCAGGCCATGGAACACGCATAGTTTACCACTAGTTTCCCATCGATGCCAAAGTTCTGAAGAGCACAACAGAGACCAGAATGTAAATCTATGTAGATGTGATAGGAGCCAACACTACTGCATAGACTAAGAAAAACTGTAAACGAACGTTCCATCATACTTCAGGACAGCTCAGGGAAAATAACATCAGAACATAGCGATACTTTTACGAGGCTTAAAACATCAACACTGAACAATAAGTGGCCTTTACTGTCACTTACTTCAAACAAATCCATTACATATTCATCCGGGTTCGGAGAAAACGCGCTGTTGATGTACACGAACTGTCAATGAACAATCAACAATGAGAGTAGTGAGCTCGATGGACGGATCAAAACCTTCGTCTCGGGCATTTATGTTAGTGAGAACTGGTGGCCTCTCAGAGCAAGCTAAAATTGCGCCAAATTGTTGCCATGTCATGTTTGTCTAGATATGGTGTCATGTCAAACAAACAGATGTTGGAAAAGTAACAACGAAACAATTTATGAAATATCGAGTGACCTCAACAGGCCAAGCATCAACTCACAACACGGAAATAATGAGATAAAGTACCACTGTTTCCCGATGCAGCTGCTTGCGCAAGAAATCAATGACTTTTGCAAATTTCTCCGAGCCTCCGATCTGCGTACCAAAAGCTCTTAACAAAATCCCCAGCAAGAACAGAAAACCCTTTCGGTTCAAAAATAACGAAAAAATTGTATCACAGGAACATCCTGTGACACCTTTGCCCATCAAAAACCTAACAACTCTAAGCTTTTCCCACATTCAACAATTTGGTGATTCCCAACCATATAGTTTTCTAAAATCACGAGAAAAATTCGATGGTCACTAGGCGTACGATTTTCACACCTCAGGCACAAAAGCAGATTATAGGAAAATTTCTGCGTTACAGCAAGAACTTCATACCTTGAACTTGTTCTGTTTGAGTATGGGAGCATCTCCTGTTGCTCGAAACAGAACCACCACTGGAAACAAGAAGCGAAGAGGGCCACTGGGCGAATCAGAAGTGCAACGCATGGGGAACAAGAAAGAAATCGTCTTTCATCGAAGAATGCACGGATTTCGGAAACGAACAACGGGAAGAGGAAGCGCAACGAACCTTTGGAGGCGGTGGAGGTGGGGGTCTGAGGCAAGACGAGCCCGCTAGGCTGCCCTGACATCGCGCAACCGTCTACGTCCGTCCACGATCGAGCAGCACCAATTAAATACACCGCCCGAGGAATCAGATCATCGCCTCTCTCGCTCCCGCTCCCACTCCCACTGACGGCCACCACCTTCGACCGTAAAATTCCACGCCTGAATCAAAATCCTTCGATCAACCTCCCATAACCTGAACCTGAACCTGAACCACGATCGCCGAAATTCTCACGGCCTCCGGACACGAAGGATCTGAACATCGAACAGTCGAGCGGCCATCGCATGCTCTCGCAGAATCTGCCTTCCTCCCTCCCTCTCGTCGCCGATTTCAGACTCCACCATCGCCATTGCACGCACAGACGACGCTTTGAGCACCCTCGACGACGCCCTCACTTTAGTAGAACCGGTCATTTTACCACCTTCTTTATAAGAACAGGTCACCTCGCTCTCTTCTCATACAACAGACACAGCGAGCACCGAATGGAATGCAATGGAAAAGGAAGGATTCCTCGCAATCACTTTGACTTATTAATTAATTTGTTTATGGTTTGTGATATTCTTGATCTGAACAGATATCAACATTTCATACAAAAAGCGTTTGTTTTTTATTGTGATGCTATTGGGGTTAGCACACCGTTTGGTTTCATCCATTGCGAAATTAATAAGGTGTTTATCCTTTATGTTGTTTTAATTTCAACTTTGCTTGTTCATGTTGGTTTTCTTGGTAGTTCATGTCCAAAGTTGTCATCAACCTCCTTGCTGATAAAAATTTAGCCCCCATGTGAGAATTGAGAGCAAATATGAAGAATATTTCAATGACGCGTGATGTTCACTTGAGGTATAACGCTACGTATGCTACGGCGCCTCCTTGTAGATAAATTGTTTGAAGCTAGCGTCGGTATCGTAATCCTTCTAGAGAGTCTAATATATATGTTATCTATAAGGGCTGATTTTACATTTTTTTGTTCGGCAAAGAATGAAACGAAAGTGTAGAATATAGAGAGATTTGAATAATCTTCTTACTCTAGTTTTTGGGCGGTTTGAACTATGCATAGTGTTTTTGATGTGTTTGTAAGAGAACGATTACCTACCATATTAGAATGAAATCAAGTTCTCTAACTTATTACATGCGTCATGTTTTGATTAGTTTACATAGAGCAGTGGCAACACAGACTCCACACAAAATTGTAATCACTTCACGTGATGAGCCGTAGCATGATCTTGATCTTTATACACGTTCGAGCTTCGAAATATACATATTACAGATGTTGTAAGACGTGTTTATCAATTACAAATCAAAGACTAGTGCTTGGTTTTCGTTGCAGAGCTTGATTGTATCTTCGCAGCTTTGGATCACTTTCGCAAATGTAGACAGTTAAGTGAGTTATACAAGTAGTTAGTAAACACATTTTTGCAGAAATAAAATTGACTGCACTTATGTCTGAAGCGCGAACAATGCAAACCCAAAGCTATACTTGCTTTGTGGTAAAACTGTTGTAAAACATATACGAGAAATTATGGCAAGTTGATATCTATTTACGTTTTGTTAATCTAACGGAGGACATCATCCAATATTCTGTTAAAGTTTCCGATTTTACAATTGAATCGCGTGGATTTCGATAAGATTCAGTTCTATCTTTAATTGTTCTCTCCGTTTTGAGTCTCATCAACTCTCTCCATTCCTCTTCACTACATTTGTGTAAGATTGATAAATTCACGTTCCTTTGTTACGTCAGACAGGAGCGGAGACATGCTTTAACCATTTTCACCACATAAACATGCTGAAAAGAAATAATTATCAGCATCCACGGTGTAAGTATCGGTGGGTGCTTGGTGCAGGATTATGCCTCATTAGTGACAAGCGACATAAGATTTCCTTCAAATCGCCAGATATGAGCGAAAGACAATGCTATTGACAATTTCCAGGGGTGAAAAAACCCGATTTTTATCGAAAATAATTTCGGGTTAATTAAAAAACCTGATTTCAACAATGGTATTAATTGATTGAAATATAATCAATTGTCAATATAATCAATAATATTTCAATCATTTATATGATTGAAATAATTGAGATAGTTTGTCTGTCCTGTTCCACTTTTGAGGCAAACTTCCCTACTGGATGTAATGTGTTCAGGATGACACAGAAACGCGTTCAACTCGACTGAGTTAGAGCGCACATACTCAATCTTGAGGTTATGCCTCAAAGTCGAATATTGTACAACTTTCTGCAAGAAAATAAACTATCGCCTGGGGAGGCCACGACACAGCGATTCTGTAAACACAGTGTGACCATGTAGACGATTCTAAAAATTGTAATGGTTCTGAGCTCAATGATCACGATTAACAGCAAGCGGCCCGAGAAGGAGTACCTTGTGCTTGATGTTCGCTGGTTGTAGGGTAAATCCGCTTTCGTTCATCTCGCCAAAGTTAGAGTCTTCTGTTCACTTCTCACGTACACAATCCAAGCCTGCAGGTTATGTGCGAAATCCATCGTCTTTAGTATCTTAAAAAATATCGAAGTTGGTGTACAGATACGACTCAAGAACCCAGATATCCCTCCAAAATATTGAGAAAGTTATCTGCATTGAACTCAAAAAATTTCATCTTCAGTGCAGATCATGTTATGAACAAGTAAAAAGTTGAAAAGGCTCAATACCTTGAAGGAGGATAATAAGGCTAGCTGTCATGGTGTGTGATGAGTACCAGTCTGTTGAAGTCCTGGAGTTTCGGGACTCGGGGTCTTTTGCTGGTGAGCGAGGTAAGAGACAAGACCGGACACAATCATCGGCAGGACGACGATGAGGCCTGGAGTGATTGTATACCGGCATCTTTGGCCCACTGAGGAAGCGGAGCCACCAGAAAGAGGTCCTGGGATGTGAATGGGTGCCTGAAGGACAGTGTTTCGGCATGGAGGGCGTGATGGTCGTATTGCACTCCGTCCCAGACGTGAGGTCCACCATATTTCACGTCACCTCTCAGGGGCATTCCAATGTACTGACAGTGGAGGCGAATCTGATGGGTTCTTCCTGTAAATGGGAAGGCACGAATAATCACTTCATCACCATTCTTCGTCAAACTGTCCTTTCTTTGCGCGCCTTCAGGCAGTGCATCTTCGGACTGGACCTCGTTCATGAGTTCTTCGCCTGCTATCACCACATTTGTTTTGGATTTCAGGTCCTCCCACGAGCTGCAACCCGCAGGAATGCCTCCACAATCCATCAGCTCAGCAACTATCTCGTTGTTCACAGACACGACCATAAAATGAGTCGTCATATCTCGAACTACGCATTTCCCTGGTAGCCCTCTCCCGATGTCCCTCTTTGCATAAACTCGCCATGCTCCGAATCTCGATCTTCCGTGACCAGACTCGATGGTCAAGTGCTTCCATGTGGGTGGCGGTGCAGTACAGAGAGCAATGTAAGACTTTTGAACCTTTCGATTGGTGAAAATTCTCGACATCTTTCCAGCTGCTTGTTTGCATTTGGTTATGACCATCACTCCACTTGTGTCTCGATCTAGTCTGTTGGCCATGTGGAGATGAGTTTCGTGTGTACTCCCGTTCTCATCTGCAGTCAAAATACAAATGACCAAGGCAGTAATAAGTCTTTCATTTTTATCAATCATTCATGACTGCCCCTCAAAAGAAATTTGCAAAAGACAAGTCTTCATTGGAGCTTCACTCGAATCAATAATCTAATCCTGAAAGATGAGAAGGTGAGGATTCAAATTGAAACCTTGAGGGGATGACTCCGATGCAAGGGGAGCAGTTATGTGCAGCAAAGATGGGATCGTAGCAAGCACATGCTCAGAGTATATTCCACAAGGTTTGTTTATCACCATCAGCCACTCATCCTCGAAGATGATATCATTCCTGGAGATAGCGGGACTAGACTTCATTGCTGCCTCAGCCACCATTGCTCTCTGGTACTCAATCGCCCTCTCAATCTCTCCAGAAAAAGGAGTCAAAGGGACGGGGTACTCAGAAGCTTTCGCTGACACCTCACCGTTCTCTGGGGCACCTACTGGAAACGTCATCTCAGGTTCAATTTCTTCAGACCTATTAGAGTTAGCTACAGCAGCAATAGTGACATTACTCCCGACATTCATTTGAGAGCCCAATCCAACGACATGAGAGTCAACATGAACGTCGTTTGAAACCTCAAGCCTGACAGGAATGGAGTCCTTGGCACTTGTAACTCGTCCTTCTCGTGAACCAGATGGAAATAATTTCTCACCAGTCTGACAAGAGCTCACTGCGCTTCTAGGCCCTAATTCACGTGAATCGTCTATCTGTCCCTGATCCCTGACACCTCGGAATCCTCGCCTGTCGTTCCCACCTCTGGAGACACCATCTGAGTCAATTTTCAGAGTCATGTTGTCCGTGAAAGTTGGCCTAAGAAGCCCGCTTTTCAAATCACCAGCACCAGAAACATTCTGGCATCCATGTTCTCCCATGTGATCAGCCGGAATCTCGTCGTTCACATTCACAGCAATGCTTCTAATATCGCAAATCGATTTATCAGACTCTGGATACTCAGAACTGTCACCTTTCACGTTCAAAGGTTGTGCCCTAAGAACACCATTTTCTGACCTTCCCTGTGCTTTCAGTTTAGCTGACTCCAAAACGGATCCGACATCAAGGCCACCACGCAGCCAATTTCCAGCCCTCTTTGTGAATTCTTCACCCACCGAGGACACTACTGCTGCGTCTCCATTCCGATTCAACACTTCTCGACAATGAGGGTATGTAACACCCGATACAAGCCGTCCGGATTTCACCCCTTCAGCCCTCAGACACTTCCCGCTGTCATTGATCAGTGGGGCAATCCACCTCGGGCATCTGAGCACAAAGCTCCACAGTCGCATTCGGTATATTGTAGAGTGGGCGACTGCAGTCAACAGAGCCTGATATCTGGAGTTTAACACTTGCAACCAGCTCCCTTCCAAATTCCTGACAATTTGACGGTTTACCATTTCATCAATAACTGAAGAGCAAGAGAAGAGGGAATTATTGGACAATTGAAAGGTTTCCTACTTTTGCATGCATACTTTTCAGAGTGCTTGAGATGTAGAATGATGAAACTTCCAAGTGATCCGGAAAAAAAACAAAAAATTTGATTACGCGCTGAAATGAATAATAATAATGAAATGAATGAATGAATATTGAAATGTTTGTAATACACATTCTGCAGGATATCAGATAGGAGCAAAAGACACTGCTCTGAAACTTCCAAGTGATCCGGAAAAAAAACTTGAAATTTGATTACGCGCTGAAATGAATAATAATAATGAAATGAATAAATGAATAATGAAATGTTTGTAATACACATTCTGCAGGATATCAGATAGGAGCAAAAGACACTGCTCTGGTCGCTATCAATGTATACGTATGCTCACAACAAACTTACTATTATAACTACTACAATTATAGATATTGACATTAATATTACTGTACTTTTTCATATTCTTCTCGCAGCTTTGCGGAGTTGTATCTGACACTTCGGAAGAAAATAGAATAGAATGCTTCAATTTGATTCTATTGAGTACACTTTCTATTTCAGGTCGGGATGAATCTTGAAAATACATTCACAATTCATTTCGTGCCCAGGACATCCTTTCAAGAAGCCAGTTGGCATTGATTGAAATCAACAATAACAATCCACAAACAAGTGATGGGCAACTTCCAACTAGTCAACGGTTCAAGACATTTCCAAATAATAGTTAGCCCTGACGACAGACTGACGATTGACAAGGGGTATATAAAAAGAAAAAATTGAAGGGAAAATCAAAAGTGGACCTAAAAAACCAGACCAGGTTCACAAGGTACAGCTTACATCCTCATTAACAAGGAACCCATACTGCTGCTAATCTTCAAACGTGAGCTGAGAGAAAAAGACTCAATTTACCAATAACTAACAAAAACTGAACTGTCCTCTTTGCTGGTATGAGTTCCTTTGAACAATGCTGTGACACATAGAGCTGTAGATTCTCGAACATTGCCAGACATTAAATTGGGAAATAATTCTCTCAGGATCACACAAGAATCTGGGCGTGGTTGCATCGAGCACGAATTGTTACCGAGAGATCTTATCAAACCCAATCATAAGTAATAAGAGTAAGACGCATTTCAAGAAAGAACACCCAGATTGGCAGGGTGCTCCCAAGCTGTTTAATAAATACAAGGGTAACCACGGGTGAGCACCACAACGACGTAAAGACCTCAAGTGTTTATGATGATCAGGTTTCTTGTAGCCCAGGCTGGAAGAATCTGACCAAAACTGTGTTTCAGTGGTATCTAGCAGCTAGCACCCTTTCCTCATCCCCCAAGGTCGTACGCATTTGCTTGTAGGTGATTCAGGTTGCGTGAGGCACCTTTGGAATATATTTCGAAAGGGCTTCGGAGCACAAGCTGGGTAAAACTACTGAGCAGAGTACATACTTCAATAGAATAGCAACTGTCCAGTGTAATGCAATGAAGGAAACCAAATTTCTGAAATAAGGATGAAATTTTAGGAGAAACTTCTCCCAATCCAGTTTTTATGCCCTATGAATTCAGAAAGATATTACGCTCATCTATAAATGGACTTGCCAAGCACGGACACAAACCACAAACCTGCTATTCATGTATCTGGAAGGTGTACGCAAACTCACAAACTGGTAATTATGAAAAAGCGCATTCGACCCTCAATAACGACGTACTTTCACAACATGTCTTCCGATGACAGAAGTTTCTTTACGGAATTCGGTACACAACGCTCACCTTATTTAAAAAAAACACGAGAACAACTAAAAAGTTTGCGCAAACTCCAGACAAGCTCACTCCACCTGTTCCAAACGCCATGCCAGAGAACCAGCAAAGCAGGAGGTACATTCAAGCATGCTGATTCGTACCTGTGGTCAAGCGCTCCATCTCGCCATCTCGGATGACTCCACGCAGAGAATCGAATAGATCAATTAAATTCCACAAGAGGAAACCACCACCACCACAGCTTCTTCTCGTCCTTCTTCCCGCAGACACAGACAGAATAAGCAGCCAAATTTTCACCTCCAACAACCTTTTCAGATCAAATTTCTCCCTTCCCCATAAATCACAGACACTCTCGTCTACTACTGATACTACAGCCACAGCAGACCCCTCGGGATCTACTGACTCACTGCGGTCAATAGATGAATCCCTCGCTCGGAGAATGAAATCCCCAGTGGCTACTCTCCCCCTCAAGCTGCACACCAACATCTGATTGAACTCGCCACACACCAACCAACATGTCTACATTGTATAATGAAAGCGTGATCTCCTGGACCAGGAGTCCTGGTCGATGGTGCTTCGGTCTATGGGTTAGTGCGTGTGGGGTTTGGGTTTATGGGTTCTACTTGGTCCTTACGGTCACTCCATTATCAATTATTTTGTTCTTCTCTGTGGTTACAAGGCTCCTTTTGCATGCTGGAGTTATCAATTGGGGTCATTTCCTTCAGAATTATTTTTAGATACGGTAGATACATTGACCCAAAAGGTACTTTTATTCTTTGCCCAACCATGATAATAAAGGTGAACGTAATGGATCCACAACTCCAATAAGCTCTACACTCTCCCTTTCTTCATCCCTTAATGCAAATGTTTTACCAGTGCTTCTCTAATATTTTCCAATGGCAGGATGCATGCTTTTAAATTTGATACATGAAAGTCTGAAGTTTCCTGATCCAGCCCTTTCAGTGGCTTTGATACTACATTAGATGCAATGATAGTCCATATAAATCGTTGCTAATTTTTGCATGAAATGATCCATCAAGCTTTGCAAGAAAGAAGATGATTGGAAAACTAGGAGGAGGACAGTTTGAATTATGTCCTACAAACCTTACGATATGTGAAGTATCTAAATTACTACATTTAAAGTATCTGCCAACAACCAAACTGCATCAACTGGGATGAAAATATTCTTGTGTGTGGCGTTGGCCGATGCTCTTTGCAGAATATTATCATAATGAAGTGATGTTTAACATGAAGTGATACCTCTCGTGCCATAGTTAACTCTCAAATAGAGCATGTCTATTTTTTATGTTTTACACATCGAGTGGAATGGCAGCAATCGAGATTTTCAAATCTAAGCATATACATAGAATTAGATGGATCGGTTGGATCATGACTTTGAGATGTTCATGTAATACGTGGTTAGTAGTACCTATATTCAATTGTCCTGCTAAGAGTATATAGCAACATCTTTCATTTCTGTAAACTAAGTCAGCAGTTTGAAAAATTATTAAATTGCCAAAAAAGACTTTTGAGATTTACTCTTCGACTACCAAGATCAAATGGGTTTTCGTGGATGTTGATCAATACATCATGTAAAACTTAATAGTAAGCTCTTCACATTTGTAAAGTGAAATATCTCTTCCAATGTAAACATTCTACGTCTTATGGAAAACTTGGAAACCTTCCACAAAGATCAAATTATATGTTAAGAATTAAAAAAATTTAGAGTGTTCAATTACACTCAGTTACGCTTACAGTCTTTGAGATGATATGTACCATAGAAGTTGAACGTTATTCTGAATGCTCACTCATTCATTCGGGTGATTGTACAATTTAACATTCATCTTACATGTCAGTAAGTGGATGATCCCTTGTGAGCTTCACCCTTTGGTGTATTCTAGAAGGTGAGACTTCCTCTTTTGTGAAATTGTAAGAAAGTATGTTTTACACGTCTGCCTCTATTGGAGTGACAGGTTCCGAAGCTAATATGAAGGCTTCGTCTCCTGAATCAATATTCAGGCATCAACTGGTTTCCACTTCTATATTCATCCTATACTGGGTGAGGCTCCGATTCCCACTGTATCTCATGTGGCAAGAATGTTACAAAATCGGTGATAGTTGTGTTCTAGTTTGAGTTTCCTTGTGAGTAAATACTCACATCCAGCATCATTAGGAATTTAGTATGTTTATGTCAACTTCTGGATAGACGCGGCATTGTCTTCAGTAGTGAACGAAAAGAGACTGCTCAATCTCTTTTTCGTCATAATCGTTATCCCAGATGTATTGCATGACGCTGAGCTTACGATAAAATAAGAAGAGAGCATTCCACACTAATAAACCATGAGCGGTAAATTAATCATAATGCGTTTCGTCCAGCAGATGTGCGGCGAAGAAAGCAATGCTTTACAGTTTTAAACTCCATCGTGACGGGACTACAGAGCAAAGTGCCATATACATTGAAACCTCCTGTGATTGGTCATTTCCACTTTCATCGGACACCACACGCAGCATTTGTATGGTTTGGGAGAGACGGAACTTTCAGAGAGTCCAGTCACCGTATCATATCTCATCACACATGAAGGCCCTCCTCGATCACACATTCAGTCGACTACTCGGGAGTTCTAAGACGCTGAAAGGTGCAACTTTACTCACTAATAGTTCAACTTGGCAACTATGCCTTGAGGAGGGTGAAACTAGCCGGATATCATGAGACTAGGTCCCGAAGGCATGATAGTGGGAACCATGTCACCAGCAGTTACGGTATTTCGACTGGTACCCCGGAGAAGTGCATACCTATAACCACGTAGCTACAACAGGTACCCAGGGCCCCACCACGAGGGCTAAAGCTCCTAATTGTAAGGATTTCGTTGGCTGCAGTCAAAGCACACCTTGCAACGTAAACTTCAGCGTTTGAGAATCATCGAGTTACCGCAGATGGAACTCATCCGGCAGGTTTTAGACTTTGAAGTTCGAGGATGACGTGGTGTGCAAGAGGACGTCTTTCCTTGTGACGACTTGGTGAGAGCGTCGATTTGTCGAGACGCAAACATCCCAGAACTTGTCATGAAAGATGCAGGACTCATCGTGCAGATCCAAGTTCCGGAGCAACATGTCTCTCGACAAAAGAACTGAAAATGACACTCATCCATGGCATGACCGACAGAGTCGATTGGGTGTAATATAAACTTCGTTTCGCAAATTGTGGCGGGACATCACCCGTAAGAGCAGGGTAAATCTACAGGGCGGAATCCGATTGCGTAGATGATTCTCCGTTGCCGTGCTGTTCTTCTGAGGGAATCACCAGTCCTTCAAGCTCCTGATCATCTTCCTCTTCATCCGAGTCTTCTTCCATCACAGCTTCTAACTCCTCTTGTAGTTTCTTATCTATCCGAGCGACTTCATTTTCGCTGTTAGCTTGGTCTTCAACATCCGTCCAGTCAAAAAACTTCAGCGGCTTTTCCGGCCATTCCAGAAGGAACATATTATTTACGAAAAAGCGAAAAGATTGCAATAAGTAACTTTTCTCTCGTCGAATGTCGGACTCGAGAAGCTTTGCCAGAAGGCTGGGTTGGCGTTTGTTGTTGGCCGCGGCCGCTAGATCCTTTTTCGGCTTCTTCGGGCGATCGGAGCGTTTATCGTGGAGAAACTCACATCTGTTGCCCTTCTTGCATCGTCCGCGCTTGAAAAAGTAGCATACCTGTGTGTATTTCTTGGACGGATCTTGACCCTTTCCACCGGAATTGGTGGCCGCAGCTTCGGAATCAAGTTCCTCGGTTGCCTCCGCTTTTGGAGTTTCCAGTTCACCCGGGCCTGCTGGCTCAGATTCACGGGAAGGCTCTACACAGGTCGGAGGATTTGGTTCCTCGATTTTGACCTGCTTGAGAGGTGGCTCACTTCTCTCTTCCTTGGGGTCGGACACTGCGGCAGTGCCACTACCCTGGTCTGCATTCAGCCGTCTCTTGCCATTTCTATTATTTTCTTTCCTTCCTCCACCACGGGATTCGCTTTTATCCTTGGACCCCCCGTACCGATCGGACAAGTAGTAGGCAGGCAACTCTGCAACAGGAACACCCAGCTCTGCTTGTCGGGCGAGAATCTCCTTCAGTCTCTGCACTCGAGCAGGCATGGCAGAGCTTAATATTGTTTTCGTATCTTTAAGCCGGATCAGGTAGGGACTAGTTTGCATTCAACGTGAGCAAGTTGACAGAGGTCAATCGAATGAATGACGGGGACATACCTCTCGCCGTTTCCTGGCATCCTCGTCTACGAGTTCTCCTCTAGCTTTTCTCGCCTGCATTTCTTCTGCCTGCATGATGTAGGACGATGCTCTTGGTTACATCACTGTTGCTCAGGTATCATCACTAATTGTGAGGTATACTCTTTAACGAATGAGATAATTCACACGAATGGGTTACAGATTTCGTTCGACCTGCATTCGTCAAAAGTCCACTGAAACCTCAGGAGAAGTATGACACAATTGAGAGAGAACTTTCTGCATGGTTTCAGGCTAAGTGATCGAACCATTGCCGTTGTATAGGAGAACAGGAGAAAGCGAATTACTTGGGTAGTCATATTCCATTATTTAGGCAAATGCCCCAAATTAAACAAACTATCTATGTCATCGTTCGGGGGAGGAGAATTCTCCCGACAGAGTAATGAGAATCCTCCTTGAGCTCAAGATGTGATCTATGCTCCAGACGCCATATGGGAGCCAAACAAAATGCTAAATACAAGTTGATTGCATAAATATGCTCAAATGAACTACGCTGATCCTCATCTGTGATTGAAAAAGTCTGCAGTCTTTAATTCCTTCAGGATTTTGTCACTACAGTGGGCAATAACGTACAATTTTCTTCAAAACGTCAGATAGGAGCGAAAGACAATGCTATATTCAATTTCATTGCATAAATATGCTCAAATGAACTATGCTTATCATCATCCGTGAAAAAAAAACTGCGGGCACTACATTAATCAGAACTATGCCGACCAGTGGCAAGCAACATTTACTTTTCTACAGAACGTCAGATAGGAGCGAAAGACAATGCTATATTCATTTTCATTGCATAAATATGCTCAAATGAACTATGCTTATCATCATCCGTGAAAAAAAATCTGTGGACACTACTTTATTCAGGACTAAGCCGCCGAGGGGTAAGCAACATTGTTTTTTTTTTCAGAACGTCAGATAGGAGCGAAAGACAATGCTATATTCATTTTCATTGCATAAATATGCTCAAATGAACTATGCTTATCATCATCCGTGAAAAAAAATCTGTGGACACTACTTTATTCAGGACTAACCGCCGAGTGGTAAGCAACATTGTTTTTTTTTCTTCAGAACGTCAGATAGGAGCGAAAGACAATGCTATATTGGTTTTCATTGCATAAATATGCTCAAATGAACTATGCTTATCATCATCCGTGAAAAAAAAAATGTGGACACTACTTTATTCAGGACTAAGCCGCCGAGTGTAAGCGATATTGTTTTTTTTTCTTCAGAACGTCAGACAGGACCGAAAGACAATGCCACATTCATTTTCATTGACTGAATACGCTCGAATGAAATGTGCTTCATCGTACGTCTTTGCGAAAATCTGCGGGATCTAGTTACTACGGGATTAAGCCCCTCTCGTGGCGAGCGACAAACATTTTTTTTTCATAACGTCAGATAGGAGCGAAAGACAATGCTATAGTCAATTTCATTGCATAAATATGCTCAAATGAACTATGCTTATCATCATCCGTGTCAAAAAAAAATTGCGGGCACTACTTTACTCAGGATTACGCCACCTCAATGGCAAGCATAATTTATTTCTCTTCAGAACGTCAGATAGGAGCGAAAGACAATGCTACATTCATTTTCATTGCATAAATATGCTCAAATGAACTATGCTTATCATCATCCGTGTCAGAAAAAAATTGCGGGCACTACTTTAGTCAGCATTACGCCCTCACAGTGGCAAGCATCATCTATTTTTCTTCAGAACGTCAGATAGGAGCGAAAGACAATGCTATAGTCAATTTCATTGCATAAATATGCTCAAATGAACTATGCTTATCATCATCCGTGTCAAAAAAAAATTGCGGGCACTACTTTACTCAAAACTACGCCACCACAATGGCAAGCATAATTTATTTCTCTTCAGAACGTCAGATAGGAGCGAAAGACAATGCTACATTCATTTTCATTGCATAAATATGCTCAAATGAACTATGCTTATCATCATCCGTGAATAAAATATGCGAACTCTTCTTAGATCAGGACTACGCCACAGTAATGTCAAGCGACAAACATTTTTCTTCAGAACGTCAGATAGGAGCGAAAGACAATGCTATATTCAATTTCATTGCATAAATATGCTCAAATGAACTATGCTTATCATCATCCGTGTCAAAAAAAAATTGCGGGCACTACTTTACTCAAAACTACGCCACCACAGTGGCAAGCATATATTTTTTTTTCAGAACGTCAGATAGGAGCGAAAGACAATGCTACATTCATTTTCATTGCATAAATATGCTCAAATGAACTATGCTTATCATCATCCGTGAATAAAATATGCGAACTCTTCTTAGATCAGGACTACGCCACAGTAATGTCAAGCGACAAACATTTTTCTTCAGAACGTCAGATAGGAGCGAAAGACAATGCTAAATTCAATTTCATTGCATAAATATGCTCAAATGAACTATGCTTATCATCATCCGTGACAAAAAAAAATTGCGGGCACTACTTTACTCAAAACTACGCCACCACAGTGGCAAGCATATATTTTTTTTTCAGAACGTCAGATAGGAGCGAAAGACAATGCTACATTCATTTTCATTGCATAAATATGCTCAAATGAACTATGCTTATCATCATCCGTGAATAAAATATGCGAACTCTTCTTAGATCAGGACTACGCCACAGTAATGTCAAGCGACAAACATTTTTCTTCAGAACGTCAGATAGGAGCGAAAGACAATGCTATATTCAATTTCATTGCATAAATATGCTCAAATGAACTATGCTTATCATCATCCGTGTCAAAAAAAAATTGCGGGCACTACTTTACTCAAAACTACGCCACCACAGTGGCAAGCATATATTTTTTTTCAGACCGTCAGATAGGAGCGAAAGACAATGCTACATTCATTTTCATTGCATAAATATGCTCAAATGAACTATGCTTATCATCATCCGTGAATAAAATATGCGAACTCTTCTTAGATCAGGACTACGCCACAGTAATGTCAAGCGACAAACATTTTTCTTCAGAACGTCAGATAGGAGCGAAAGACAATGCTAAATTCATTTTCATTGCAGAAATATGCTCAAATGAACTATGCTTATCATCATCCGTGGAAAAAAACTCTGGACTGTAGTTACTTCAGGATTACGTCACTATAATGTCAAGCGAAAGAATCTTATCTTCAGAGCGTCAGATAGGAGCGAAAGATAATTCTCTGTTCGTAACCATTGCATAAATGTGCTCAAATGACCTATGCTTACCACCATCCGTGAAAAGTAATCTGCGAGTTCTACCAAGTTCAGAAATTTTCTACTGTAGTGGCAAGTGACATACATTGACCTTCCGAACGCTAAATGGGACCAAAAGACAATTATACTCATTTTCACAGCACAAATACGCTCTAAAGAACTACGCTGATCCTCATCTGTGATTGAAAAACTCTGCTGTCTTGAGTTACTTCAGAATGTTGCCACTTCAGTGGCGAGCAACGTCAAATTTTCTTCAAAACGTCAGATAGGAGCGAAAGACAATGCTATATTCATTTTCAGTGCATAAATATGAACTATGCGTAACATCATCCGTGACGAAGAAAGCTGTAGGTTCTGTCAGTTCAGGATTTCGCCACTACAGTTGCGAGGGACAAATACTTTTCTTCCCAACGTCAGATAGGAGCGAAAGACAATGCTATATTCACTTTCATTGCATAAATATGCTCAAATGAACTATGCTTATCATCATCCGTGAAAAAAAACTGCGTGCACTACTTTAATCAGAATTATGCCGCCCAGTGGCAAGCAACATTTACTTTTCTTCAGAACGTCAGATAGGAGCGAAAGACAATGCTATATTCATTTTCATTGCACAAATGTGCTCAAATGAACTATGCGTATCATCACTCGCGAAGAAGAAAGCTGTGGGCGCTATTAGTTCAGGGTTATGTCACTGGAGTAGGATACGCCATGCATTTTCTCCTAAACGTCAGATGGAATGCATGCTTAAATGTTTAAATGAACTATGCTTCTAATCACTCGTGATGAAGAATTCCATTGGCTCTATTCAGGCATTGCCACCGAAATGGAAAGCAACATATACTTCCTTCAAAACGTCAGATAGGAGCGAAAGACAATGCTATAATCATTTTCATGGCATAAGTATGCTCAAATGAACTATGCTTATCATCATACGTCATGAAATACCTGTGTATCCTTGTGTAAGATTATAAATGAGAGAGATGTCTGCCTCAAAAGTGGAATAGCCATGTAGATATTTAAATACACGGTTTGTCCGGTTGCAGTTTTGAGACTCACATCCCCCAAGCTGATGGAAGAGATTTTCTCAGCTGGTAGTGATAGTTGTGCTTGAAGTCCAAAAGGACAGAAAGATATGATCACTTTCAACGAGAAAGTACCCTCAAGTGAATTATGCTTGCTTAGACATCCCGAACAGCAGACATCCTTGAGTTTCTACAAGAAAGCTAGACTATCGGTATGCATCAAAGGTGACAGTGGACATACTTCCAAGTATGTACTTCTGGGGGTTTTCTGTACAGTTCCGCTTGTAAGACACACTTCCTGCCTTATTACAATATGTAGAGGATGACAAAAAAACCCGTCCGACTCGGTTGAATAAAACAGAATATATCCCACCGCGGGTATAACCTTATGAAGATTCAGCAAATCCTCGACACACCGCTCCTATCTGAACTAAACGTACACATCTCCCTCAACTTGAACTCAGTGATCATGAAGAAGATCAAGAAGCCCGAAAACGAGTACCTTGTGCTTGATGTTTGCTGTTGTCGGGTAGTTCCGCTTCCGTTCATCTCGCCAGCGTAGGACTTCTTCTTCACTTTCTTTAGACTTGAACGAGCCAGGCCTGCAGGTTGAGCAAATCCAAGATCTTCAAGCTTTAAAAAGCGATCCATGTGGTTGACTATATACGACTCAAGAACCCATATATTCCTTCACAAAATGATCAAGAGAAATAACATACTCGTTTGAAAAAGGTATTATTCTAGACCGCTAGATAGCAGCGGATTACTGCATGTTTGTTGAATATTGAAATCTATGACAAGGCTTGGAACCTTGATGGAGCAGACGAAGACAAACTGTCATGGCTTGTTTGCTTGTGCTCCTTCACTACCCTTCCTGCACACCACCTTGATCATGTCAGCTTGCTGGCAAAAGCACACTGATAATTGTGGATGCTGGTGTTTGTAGGGTTCAGCTTCAGCTGCCCTTTCGACGTTGAGGACTAAAGAGCACATGCAGAACGAAAGAAGGAAACACAAATCGTGTCTTCCAACACCTTGTCGTCTCATGCAGATCCAACTCAGAAGGAATGCCCAATTAACGAATTAACACAATACTTTACGGAAGGAGACAAGTTGCATGTAAGCTTTCGAGTAGCTATGTGTTTAGTCTGACCTGAGGCCTCAAACGAGCAGCCTGGCACATCACACTTGACATGTGTGCTTTTGTGGGCTGCAAATTGTTGAGCGTTCGACAATGTGCGATCGCATGGGTCACAGTGCAATGAGATAGCCTGCGGTCTGCACCAATCAGATCAGAAACCCCGGCCTACCTTTGGCAATTCAATTCCACTGCATACTTTGAAGCAAAACTCAAGAATCCTAATCCGTCAAATTCCAAAATAAAAGAATGTTCGTATTTCCAAACAACCCCTTTCACGAACTGATCACAGACTTTGACATCCTTTTAGAGAAAAAAACTTTCAAGAAATGAACGAAGTAGGCAACACACCTCATAGGCTCCCTATCCATGGCCCCACCTCCACCTCCACCTCGCCCCTTCCCCGTCTTCCCTCCGGAAATATTGCGAGAATTGCTGGAGCCAGATCCATTTGACCAGCTCCCAGACCTATTGTCGTCGTAAGACTTGTCCCGGGACGAACCGCGAGAACTTCTTTCGTGCGACAGATACTCCATCTGCCGCATCCCTTCGACAGGACGCCGTATATCTTGGTGAGTGGGATTTCGCTCGAACCTCCCGCTTGGACCATCGTGTTGTCCATACCCCCAAGACGAGTTACCGCGCGCTCCCTCTCCAGAGAGGTGCTGGGGAGATATGAAGGCTACATTCGGCTCATGGTGCATGAACTGTTGCCCATGAAAAGGTGGACCTAAACCCTGTACAAGCATATGCAATCGATACGACTGTGAACATCAAAAACCTCTCAACTCCTATCCTCCACCAACCGTGCGACTAAACAACTTCTTCCGACAATGCATGCCATTGCAAAGCAGCATCATCGAGGTCGTGATCAGTCGGTGAGTAAGCTTGCGAACTGTGAAGGTAATAATACTGCAATTAATAATCAAAATCGTAATCATGCCGTCTACTGAGAAAACGTACAAAGCTTTAGCCTTCGTCGACTGGAAACCTACCGTACAATTTGAGAGGCAAGACAGGAAAATCCGCCTGTATCAGACAGAAATTCAGAAAAAAAACGACGTATATCATGTTCTATTGCCTGCAAGAGTATTGAGAGTAGGATCCTTGCAAGGGGGATGGGCGACTTTGAGTATGCAACTGATAGTCACTGAATCTCAAGCTACTATCAGCTCGTAAGAAGCCTCCGAGTTCAAGGGCCGATTCAGGTCGACACTGTATGTGCTAAAGGTTCGCGCCATTCGCTAGCAGACGACGATTGCATGTAAGAACGGGCACATTTAACGTGGATTGTGCGGCTACAAACCACAACCTGCCCTTCCCGATGAAGTCGATGACAAATCCAACAAGTGGAGATTGTCAAAAGGAGTGTGGGGAGAAATGTCAGACCTTCTAGAAAAACTAGCAGCGAAATAAAGATGTCTCCGCAACAGCATTGTGAGATGTGTGTCACGCTAGAAAATGTCCATGTCTAAAGACATCGACTAGTTTCGCGTCGGAACGCAATGGGACGCAGATTGTGAAGGAGCACAAACACTGAAAGAGCAGTGTTCCTCCACGAAAGTCGGGGAACAAAACTCAAACAGAAAGCATCGATCCATGTATCGGGACGACCTCTCCCGTTGGGACTGGAGATTAGACGAGAAACAGACAATAGTACCTGTGATGGAAAGTTCCCATTGCCCCATGATGGGGACTCCGACCGGATGTGGCCCCACTGCTGCGGCGGTGGTATCGGCGTCACCGCGAACTGCTGACCGATGGGGAGTGCCACAACTTGCACCCCACTGTGCAAATCATGCGGGCCGGCGTAGAGGGAAGGCAGGAACGCGGGGTTTTGTTGATGCTGATGATGCTGTTGCCCAGGGCGAAAACCAGAATTGACCTGCGCAGCTTGCTGCTGATGCTGTGCGTAGTAAAAGTTCTGTCCAGGTCTCATTGAGAGCTCTGCCGACAACTCAGACCTCAGTGGTCCTCTTAAGGATGCATCCACACCCTCTTCCTCGTCCACCTCCTCCTTCGTCTTCGTCTTCGTTTCTCCAACTCTGACACCAAAACCCCAAACCCCAGCAAACCCCTCAAAACCTCGACAAAGCGAACAGATCCCAAACGACGAATCGCCACGACGTCAAATCTTCAACAAAACCTTCACATACACAACACAGCACTCGCATCGCGACCGCCAACATCCCTCACCCACCTCTCAAATCGAGCAGACCAAAATCGCCGGCCGCGCTGCGTCGGCGGATGATCGAAATGTCGTTCGAGAAAAGCACTCGCGGTCTCGAAAAAATCGAACGTCGCTCTCCGCCGATGCTCTCTTCAGCTCAGAGCTGGCCGACGAACCAATTCAAGCAACAAAATCCAGGCATCGGGCACGAATTAGAGCGGAGCCGACGGAGGGTATTCCACTCTACCGCCGAGGGTTTAGAGGGTCGGACGCAAGCGCAGGTTCTAGAGAGTGGCTGCCAAGCCCGATATTCTGTTCCAACTGCGGCCTCGGCCTCTTCCTCTAGGATAGGTCTTGGAGCCCGCCCCGATATTGGGTGCAATTGAATGCCAGCCCTTGTCCAGCGAATCGGCCCTCGCCCTGGCCCGTCATTCTTCCATTCTTCATCACTCCCGACATCTGGACCCGCCCCACCATCAGAGAGACAGAGAGCCGTGTATGGGTTTTCAGTAATCCAGAAATTAGCTCAATGACTCCCTCAGGCAATCTCCCAAAGGCTAAAAGGATCTTCGATCTCCGCGTCCGGCAGAATCATTGCGTAATGCATTTTGCCATTTTGCCATAAGATGCACATTATGCTTCTAAATTGCTGATGGCTGCGGCTCGTGAGCTGTACTTGGAGGCTACTGGAACGCCTGGCGCCAACCCTAAAGCGAGTCTCTGGCCTGCTAAGTGACCTTCGTGAGCCACATTCTTGGAGGCAGTTGATTTCGCGTCGCTCGTGGGAATCTATTTACCAGAGCTTTAAGTGTAGGGCGGGGTGGTCAGAAGGGTGAAGGGAGGAGAGGAAGGGAGGAAGAAAAGAATGCATTAATGTGGGGAGGGGAGGTTTTGGCAATAATCTTTTTGGGAGGGCTCTGGCTATGGAAAGATTGGCACATGCACTGCGCCCAACTACTGCTGCCCCCTTTGCTCACGTGAGTTATCCGCGCAGATAATGTGGAGGCAAGAAACTCCGATTTATACGGCCTCCTGGTTTGATTGTTGCCGTTCATGAAGGCTTAACTCGACGGTGTACGATCCCACGGGACCCGAGGTAGTCGAGAGGCCCACGCAAGGACGAGTCATGGTTTAGTTTCGGTGGCTGAAGAGGGAGCGCCACCACGTTCTCCAAACGTTATGACCTCTCAAACTTCTCGCCATTCTATGCCCGTGCGAAGACAATGAGTTGCAATGCTTTCGTTGTTGTTACATTAATCGAGCGATTGTTACAACTCACGGGAATGAATTCTACACTTCTCCTACATGTTGTTGCCTCCTCAACGTGGAGGAGAAGTGTGGAATACATTCTTGTAAGCTTGTTGCACGAGGAGGAGAAGACATTTTTCTTGACACATAACAGCGTGGAATCTAGAACCCTAAACCTTAAAAAATCTAGATTGGAATCAAGACTACTTGCGATTGGATCGATGGAAAAACTCTATAAAAGAGGAGAACCTTGAAGGACAGAAGTAGCGGAGAGCCAATTTCAAACGTATCAAAGTGAGTAGGCTTAAGGACATCGAGCGTAATTACGGCATTAGATGAGTCCCAAAGCTGAGGTCAAGTTTGCACTACCGCAGATGTGAGTGGATTCCATAAAGGGTTAGGGCTTTAAGGCTTGTGAAGGCAGCTCATCCACAACTACAACACTTTGCCATTATCCACATGCTGTACTGCGTTGGTACCCACCTTTTCGCGCTTATTTATCAATCTCTCAAGATGTGAACAAGGACAGTTCATGTTTTGATCACATCAAAATGTCGGTAACTCCAGAGGTGCACAATTGGGCCCGCATGGCGTGGCATCGCATGTCACGATGCGCTAGACATAGAGTTCGCGAGGGGGCACTGTCTTCGGACAAACCCTACGAGGCAAGTCTGAAACAACCTTGTCGTGGTACTTGCTTAAAGGCTGCAAGAGCCCCACTTGCTCTCCGGACGAGGAGAACCAGATTGATTGAAGCACGAATGAATTATCTTGATGGAACGAAGAAAGAAAGAAAGATTGATAGTCGAAGAAAATTCCGGACAAGGGACTGTTTCAAGAAGTGAGGAGAATAAGGATTTGGAATTTAGAATTCTCCCTCGTGTGGACGGGGATGGTGGTTTGGTTCTCCGCCATCTGCGGCACCAGGTGGGAGCTTGTGGTGCGAAGCGAGGTTCCAGTTCTGTAGTTACAAGCCGGCTGAACTGAGATACAAGCCTCTTCAAATACATTGCTCATGACATCGCTCCTAGCACCGCTCGCACGCGAGGCCGATTGTGGTAGAGCTAAACGACATGGCTCGCCCCCTTGTAGCCAACTGTTCCCGAGCGAGTAGCTGCTACCAGGACCACTGCTGCTGCTGCTGCCGCCGCAGTGCGTCTGTCGTCGCTGTTGCTGCCGCGGCTTGCAGCTTGATCATGGCGAGCAAGTCGATGGAACGACGTCATACGGATGGGATCGTGCCGGAGCATGCCGGTGAACAAACCGCCGAAGCTGTGGAGATATAGTCAGTCACTCGAATGCGACATTGTCAGGGATAATGTCAAGAATCAAATATGGTCGTCGAGGACGTACCCTAATAATCTTCTGCCTCCCATGCGTGTACATGGAGTTCTGATACGCGGTGCAGCGTCTCGAGATTTGATTATGCTCCGATGAACTAAGGTCATCCATCGCCTGGTGAGATTACGGAGGATGTACTACGGAGCTCGAAAGCGAGGCGGTCGTTCTGAGCCCATCACCCTTTTCGACTTTCCGCTGACAGGAAAAGTACCTCCCGGGGACCACTGATTTGCAATTTGTATCTCGAATCTGCGAACGAGTGGGAGGGGAGGCTCCAAGATTCTCTTCACATTTGACTCCGTTCGCCCACACTGTCGCCCATGTAATGTCATATTCACTTCTGCTTGATTCGGCTGAACTCATCTCATCTCATCTCATCTCAGCGCAACGCAACTCACCTCACCTCACCTCCCCTCGACTCGACTCGACTCCCGTGAATTAAAACAAGTTCTTGCGCATGAATGGTACTGTAATTTAATGACAGCCTGCCAATCTGCTGGAATTTCCTGAAGGCAACGTCAAAGGTTTAGTAAGAGTACCTGCAAGTTGGCACCTATGTCTCGACCTTTAATCCGAGTGTGACGGAATCCAGTTTCTCGTGCGGGCCGCACATGGATCGACCAGGATCAACTGATTACCTCTTCGAGGCTACTTGCATTTTAGTGTGGAGAAAGTGGACGGGCAAAGGGAATTGGTTTCTGATCCGATTCCTGCACTAGTTACTGCACATTTCTTCTGAAGAGAGGTCACCGCCAGCAGGCAGAATCGAAAGACATCCAAAGTCCAAAATTCCAAAATCCCGATCTCTGGAAAGCTGTAAGCTGATGGTAACTCAACCAAAGCTCATCTGCAGCATCATCATCATCGTGATGCACAGGTGTCTAGCGAAACCAGAACCAGGATCGTAGGATACCCGACTATCGGTGACCAGGACTGTCATGCCACTCTCGGTTGATAAGCTGGAAGCACGAGAAGTGCTTCACATCTCCAGGACTAGGCTGGAAATGCCAAGCCTGGAATCTGACTTTGCTGGACTAAGCCACTCTCTCCGTAGACTCTAGGAGCCAGATTGAACCGTCCAGAGATTTGAAGGACGTGGATTGAGTATATCAACTGAGTATTTTCTGAACGAGCCCTCTCTGAAGATTTTACAAGGGAAGCAATAATCAGTCTTTTGGGAGTGGTTGCTTTCCTTTCTAGTGAGTACGAATTGCCGTTAGGAATCATGGGGATCTTAACGAGAGTGTCAGAGTATGACACTGCTACAATCCACCGATAAAGCCATAACCAACGGAAGACAGAAATGGAAAGTCCACCGGGCGAGAAAAGCTGAAGACCAGACGGAATGTTGCTCAATTGGTGCAAAGAATAGTGGAATCGAAGGGAAGATACAAACCAGTGGAATGTTGAGGACCTACCCTCGGCAGGGAGGAAAGGCTGCAGGAGTTTGTTGAACGCCGAAGCTTTACGTGGACGAATACAAGGCAGAAGTTCTCATATTGTCTTCCTTATGTTGTTGACTGATGGTGACATCATGGGGACCAGGACATTCGCATTTCGAGGACTCCATTCTCATTCTGAATATAATGCAGGGCAACGTTTATTCCTTGCGGTGATTTCGAATTTTCCACCTCCTACAAAACTGTGAACAAAGAACTTCGAACCAGCAAGTACAGCAAAACAGCACATGCAGTATAATCTTCTCGAAACTTCATGATGCTGAATGGACAGCGATGACTGCAAGTCCGGTCAGTAGGTTGAGCATAGGGATCTAGTATCTAGGCGAGTACATCGGGAAGAGACTCAATTAACATTATTATGGGGACCCTGGGCCATGCAAGATTTTCCAGAATCGTAAGATTTGGACCTGCTGAGTGTGAAGCAGGAAGAAGAGAAGACGCTGCCATTGTTTCGCGGGATCCGTTGAAGTGAGACAGAGACTGTCTACCTGTATGTCTGTCTCCACGGAATTATGGACCCCTCATTCTATGCATCTCTCCTTGAAGATGGGGGTTCCTCCGAGGATGGACCCTCGACCTTTGCATCAAGTTCTCAGTCTGGACCAGCTGGTGGCTCCCAGGTTCGAATGCAGACAGTCCTTCGTCTTTTCTCACTAACTTAGTTCTCGGATGAAGAACTTATTAGTATTCCCCGTCCTTGGTTCCTTTGGATTGCGCTTTTTCCCGATGGTTTCCCCATCCTTTGCAGAGCTCTGGAGATATTTTCAGACGTTTTCCTGTCAATTTCACCAGCATGGAAGAATGCTGTCCAGTATGATGTCCAACACAAGTTATTACTCTGCGGTCAAATTCAAGTCCACTGGTTGAAGTAGATCCCGCTATGCTTCACCCGTCCAGCAACGAACCTTGCACGAGTGAAATGACAACAATCCGTATCATTACTGTGGATGGGATGTGATGATTCGGATGCCTAAGAATAACACAAGTTCTGACTCATCTTTGGCTTTCTATTGTATCTGCTTCACACGCATCTTTCCAGGAAATCGGCTCGGATATCAAGACCCTTATTAAGAGATTTTATCAAGTGGCTATTCCATATTGGTACTCAGAGGATAAGGTGCAAGCAAGAATACGCCTGGCTCTCGTATTCACTCTCACTCTGACGACAACCGGAATCAGCGTTGCATTCAGTTTTTTGAGCAGAGACTTCTACAACGCCCTTGCCAGTAAGTGAATGAGGATCTCTCGTTCCATCTTTTGAGTTAACCACTCGACTGATCTCTTGAACGTAGGAAAATGGCTTCTTCTGCAGGTCAACTCAATGAAATCAATCTAGAAGGAAAAAGATTGAAATTAAAGTGCTAATCTGCATCACAACCATCAGGTCTTACTGTCTGAGTTCGAGCACGAAGGAGACGTCTGTGAGGTCAACCATACATCATTTAAAAAGCTAGTGTTTAAAGAGTCCTCAGAGTCCAAAACTCCCGGTTGATTGGCAGTAACCACCGTGATTTCATCCAGACAAGGAACCACAGAAATTCAAGAAGCAGCTGATTTACTACATGTCGGCATTTGTGGCCGGGATACCGGTAAGATGGTCGGTACATTAGTAGCACCCACATACTTCTATAAACTCTATCCCAAGGTTTTCAGCACCTAGCTCACAATGTTTCAAAGTTCTGCTTACCTCACCATGGATGGATATCAAGAGGAATCACCTTGACAACCTTAAGATCTAGGCTTAATCAGGTCAAAGGATCCACAATCAGGAACTTAGGAAATGCTTCGTTGCTACTCTACTCCGGATGCAGAATCTGATGACTGTTGACAGGTGTTTGTTATTAGAGATTACACGAGGGAGTTGCTCGCAGTACGCTGGCGTTCATGGATGACGAAGCATTACATCAACTGCTACTTGCAAAATCGAACATTTTACAACATTCAGGCACAATCTTTGATAGACAATCCTGACCAGCGCATCGTTCATGATGTCACTTCATTCACAGGAACTGCTCTGGCTTTCGCTCTGGCTTTATTCAACGCAGCAGTGGATCTTGCCTCCTTCTCCGGCATTCTCTATGGCATATATCCCCCTCTGTTCTTAGTCCTCATCGCCTACTCCCTGGTCGGCACGATACTCAGCCTGCTACTGGGCAAGGTACAAACATCTCGTCTCTCGTAAAGCTTTGCTCTTGATTCTGATGTACTTTTTGCCTACATGCAAATGCGTTCTACATTCGATATCTACTGGATCAAACTAGATTGCCCTCAGAAACTGAAAGGTAGTAGACAGAGAGCTATTCCTTTCTATCACTGTGAAGGTCATGCATAGATCAATGTTCTGATTGTCAAGTGTGCTTTCTCGGTGCTCGTTCTCGAGAGCTCTCGAATCTATCACAGTGTCGGGGTGTGATTGTATGTATGTGCAGGGATTGGTTGGCCTCAACTTTATACAGGAAAGACGAGATGCAGACTTTCGCTATAATCTAGTACGGGTGCGAGAAAATGCAGAATCCATCTCTTTTTACGGAGGAGAGCAGAGTGAGAGCCGCCTCCTCCTTCGTTGTTTCAAGCAGTCCCTGGACAACTTATATGTACGGATCTTTCTTCGTTGGCAATGGTGCCCATCATAACTTTCACTCGAACATTGTGTACTGATAGGGTGGGAGAATATTATTGCTGTGATGCCTACGCTCGTGGATTTGGTAAATGCAAGACTAGTCTGAGTAATGTTCACCACCATCTCCACATCCTCGTCTGAGGATGCAAATCACAGAGCCGTATCTCTAATATTCCAAAAAGACGGTGGCATCGGCTTCTATTGAAAGTCCTATAAAGATGACACTGCAGTGCACTTACATTGTATCCTATAATCCTCGAGTCAAGTACCTTCTTTCACCATGAATAGGGCAGGTTTTGGATTCCAAAGGGTCTCAACCATGTAACCGTCTGCGTAAGATTTTTCCCGACACGTAGAGCCTTGCCAGGTTCACAACCTAGCCTGTCATATCATACTGAGGACAAAGTCTGACACGATGTTTTGCGTTGTGCCAGAAACTAATGAAAGTGTCCAGAAACTTAAACTTCTTCACAAGTGGATATCGATATTTCATCGAGCTTCTGCCGGCCGCAGTAGTTGCACCTCTATACTTCAGAGGAGAGATCGACTTCGGCGTCATCAACCAGTCCTTTTCGGCATTCGATCACATATTGGGTGACCTGTCCATAGTCGTGTTTCAGTTTCAATCAATAACTGCTTTCTCTGCAGTTGTCGATCGATTAGGCAAGTCACTCCTCACTCAAGTCCCTCACTGATCATTCCTTTCACAGAAACCTAGTTCAAAGGATTTAGAATTACAGCTGTGAATGATCTAATTCTACCATGGTCTCGCTCCATGTTACAGGCGAATTCAATGACGTTTTGAATCGACTGCACATTGCTCACGACAGACCAGCCCTACACTCGGCTGTCATGGATGGTGCTCGCCCAAAAATATACAAAGTCGACATAACGGACGTTTTCTCGGGCCCTGAAAATCAGAGTCTCCCATTACTTGCCATCGAACATTTGACCCTCTTCACTCCGAACTACAATGTGACTTTGGTGGAAGATCTAACGTTTGTCCTCCACGAAGGGGAACATCTGCTGGTAAGAAAGTGTCATGATCCCAGATGGCAACTTGTCCCAAAACTCCTGGGCTGTGGCTTTCACAGATGAAAATGTAAAACGAAATATGAACTTCTTCCAAGGATGTCACACTCTTTGTAGCAACTCTAGTGACCTTATATTACCATCTCCGGAGTGCGTTTGACAGAACCTAAGAGTAATCCATCACCTACGAATAGCTGACAAGATGCTCAGATCCCCTCCACATCCTTCACGTAAACTTGGATCATGGCACTCTCGAAATCGGGTGCAATCCTGGTGTAAACTCTGACTGTTCAATGATTCTGGTCGCTGACAGATCATGGGACCAAGTGGAAGTGGCAAGACGTCTCTTATCAGGGCAATTGCGGGACTCTGGGAGTCAGGGAGAGGCACAATCAAGACGTTTGTAGCAAGTCAGCGTGAAGACGATGTAGAATCTCGTCGAGTCTACGGGGAGATTGAGGAGGAGCCAATTGAGGAAGGGCATGCTCGCAAGAAGAGTGGCATGATCTTCTTCTTGCCTCAGAAACCTTACATGGTCATTGGTTCTCTGCGCCAACAGCTTCTGTACCCAACCTGGATCATGGATGCAGACAATGATGGTAAGAAAGCTAGAATGTCACCGGGAAACAAAGTTGTATCTTGATCAATTCGAGCTTTCATCATATGTGGTTCCTCGTTGTACTACATAGACAGAACTTGATTAAGACTTGTGTCCGCGATACGAACGTGCAGCGATGGTGTCAGGGCAAGTGTCTACGTACCCTTCAAGACCTCTGCCAACAGATCCCGAGCTTGTGGATGTATTGGGCCGCGTGAGGTTGAGTTATCTCTTGCGAGGATATGAAGAATTAGACTCACACAGAGAATGGGCCTCTACACTTTCTGAAGGTGAGCAGCAACGTATTGCCTTCGCGCGATTACTTCTCTCGAAGCCAAAAGTAGCTATGATGGACGAATCTACCAGTGCCATGGACGAAGATAATGAGGTAACTAACCTTCTCGTAGAGGCTTTATCACACAATGAGGTAATAAGGTTATATATCGCCTTCTTGCATCGAGAAGTGTGGCTTGGCAACAATCCCTTTGCTGAATATGTTGATGGTCACCGTTGAAAGCAAACCACGATATGCAACTCATCGTTTTCCATGAAAATTCTCCACAGTCCTCCAAAGGTCTGGATTGTCCCTAGGTCCGCACACAGGTTTAATTAGACCTCCTGGACTACGAGGTTCTTTCACCCGCTGAATTTTTACCAAGGAGTCGGCAAGTCCAACGTGACATAGTTGCTGCCATGATTTGTCGGATAGAATTTACATCTCCTTTTATCTGCTGGTAACAGGCACAATTATATCGAGAGATCGACGCAGCAGGTATTACTTACATAAGCGTTGCACACAGGGCAAGCTTGAAGTGTTACCACTCGAACGTTCTTACAATGTACAAGAACAAAGATAGTGATAGAGGTTGTCGGTGGACATTCCGATGCAGTAGTGACACATGCAGCCATGATTCAATGGATCATTGATTTGAATACATCATTGACACAAGATTTGCTTCAAAAATCCGAAATTGGGTATGTACTGCAAGGTGTTGGTGCTTTGCGCCAACTCCCCAATTAACATAGTTTGAGAGGTTGTAAATGAAATGTGTTAGCTTTCTCTCAAGTCCCGATTTACATTCGGGTGACTTCGAGATATGTGAAGGACTACTCTCCTATACATGGCCACCTATCCTGCTCTAATTTGTCTGTTCGCTGAATTCAGCGTGTGTTTAGGTCTTTCCTGTACACTAGTTGACAATTTAGACCTGAGCGTCAGGCATTTGCGAGTGTCATTCCAGTGAACCAATAAACAGCTTTGAGAAGTTCTCATCAAACATGACAGCAGAACTGTCATGTTTGATGAGAACTTCTCAAAGCTTGGGCCAGAATCCTAGAAGTAGGTCTCACAGACTCCATGTGCATCGCGCGAGCAATTCTGGTGGATTCGGAGGGTGCCCATCTAGCTTCTGCCGAATCGCCTAGGGAGGAGGACGAGGAAGAATCAGTGGACTGACCAGGTGATTTGTTCCTTTTCACCCGCTGTTGTTCCTCCAGTGCCTGCTGCTGCTTTTGCATCTGGATTTCTTGTCTTCTGAATTGCGAGGCTGCTTGTCGCGCTCCAGCGATTGAAGCTTCTAATGCCGCAGATTTTGGAGGAGCCTTCAACTTCCCATTTGGACCTTTCTGTAGATCCACCACATTGCTAGAAGAAGGCTGAGAAGGTAAAGGAGGGAAAGTAATAGGGGCAGGTCCACAAATTGGCTTAACAGCCCTTGAAGCTCCGTCCAGAATCTGCGTTCACCGGAGATAAATGCCAGCTTTAGACGAGATTATGAAATAGGCACCTGTAGATTCAGCGTGCAATATATAAACCGTGAACGCCTCCAATTGGAAAAGATCAGTAAGTACAGTGTTAGGAGGATTCACCGATTTCTGTATGTTGTATATTCCTTGACGGCCGCGCATCTGCAATGGCATAACCAGCTTCTGTCCTCGCACACAACCGTCAACTAAGACTCATGAGAAATATATAAACAAGGTCTGAAAAAACTTCAAGTTGTGCCCTTAAAAAGGTGTACTCCATTCAGCGCTCTATGATGACTGCTCAATCACCCACTCATGTCCGCATGGATTATCAGGTCAAACATGAACGCGTTGTGAAATTTCAGGGGCACAGCTTAATGTGCAATATTTGGTAAATCTCATGCCAAATTTTTTCCTTTGTTTGGTTAATAAAGAGACATCCGGTCATCTAACTACATGGCATCTATTAGGCAACTGAGACATGATTTCACAAGATTCACATAATTCAGCGTACAGTTATACTAACCTGTGGTGATTCACAGAGCCAACAAAATTCGGTCTGACCCTCCAGACGGACCTACAAGTTGGAAAACAACAATATCTCTCAGAGAAACAGCATCCGGATTCTAGCTGATTGGTGAAAGCTGGTTCAGACGCGGAAAGGCAAGGATCGGCGAAATAACATATCGCCAATGTACGCAATAAACTTCTAAGTAACTGCTCACCCCATTAGAAAGATCTTCCCAACAGATCAACTCGTCAAGCTTTAAACAGCCGACAACCTCTACACAGCCTGCAAGGTTTTCCAAGCTCCGTCAACAATCCAGATCGATTTACATGCATGTTATACTGATTATAGATCCCAGAGATCTTGCATACATAGACATAATTGCAGCCAATTTAAAATCAAACCAACATAACCGGTCAACAGGAGCCACTATATCTACAGTTTAAGGCGAAGTAACACTGACCCAGAAGAACAGAGGTGGGATAATACTTTGGAAATTCGATCTCTGTCACCCCATCCACAGCATATATCTCACGATAAAAACTCTCCATGGCTTTAATCGTTTCAGGTTCTGGGACCTTTGAAGCGGCGTGTATCCAGAGTTTACCTGCGAATATTCCAATAGACATTACATGACAACAACTGCTTGTGAATATCTTCAAGTATATCCTCGACAAAAAAACACCATCCCCTGTCACTCTTCCGAAGCATCTGCTCTGGTTGTCAGAGTCCCGTTGTTCATTCCCATTAAATTCGCAGAATTCACGAAGATTCCTTGAAAGAGTAATGAAGATGATCAGAATAAGGAAAGTGTGAGTGAATCTAGACGTTGAGAGAGCCTAGAGATGGCCAGACCTGCTAAAATTTGAACAATGTGTCACATTTGGCAAAACGTATGAGTAGGAAAAGCATGAGATAGTGGACATGTTCGCAGCTTTACTTCTGATACACACGTTAGACTGATGCCGGAAAACCTGATCAGGTTCCAGTATTTCTCATAAATCGAAGGTTTGGAGAGTAAAGCAAAACAGTAGACACAATATGTAGTCATGTCACTGGTTTCGTATCGACCGAAAAACTTCTGTGTGGTTGGATCACGGTATATAGAGCGCGAAAGAGATGAACAATAGACACTTCAATGCCATAGATCCTGTGCGACCGTCAGGAAACACTCTTTCAGCTAACTGTCAAAATTAATCACCGAATTGATAATCGTCAAACGCTTGAGTTATTCCTTACAAAAAAGCTGTAGCATATTAGAAATGCCTGTCATTGCCTGGAGACGAGAAGACAACATCCATCTTCAAGAGTGGAGAATAAAAAACAGCACATTTATTTTGAATTCAGACTGAGACAAAGGCAGAACAGTTCAAAAATTCAAGGACGCAACTCTTATCATTACAATAAGCCTCTCTCGTACAGCAGTAAGAGAGGCTGCAATCTGACTATTTTCTTCGGCAGCAAGTGATTGGAATATAAAGGCAAATCACACACGAGGTACAAATTTGGCCACGGACAAGACACATCTAGTTTGCAATTTTCTGCCTGTAAATTCAGTCGCACAGTTGCTGAGGTTAAAGACAATCCATGAAAGGGTGCGATCGCGTTGGGTATTGGTCCCAAACGTTATGAGATAATTCCGGCTCATGGTTCAAGAATTTCGAATGAGGAAGATAATATACAGCGATTCTTCAGATAGCTGATTGGAAAAAGAACGCAGACAATCAATTCAGCTACGGAACACCTGGCTGCTGTAAATTCAAACATGATCTCATGTACGTGACACCAACAGAGGACATGTAGCGCATTTTGTTGAAAGGCATCTTGAAAAAAGGACGAGAGAAAAACGAAGGCAAAAACTTACCACGGATGGGAGAAGGCCAAGAACGGCCCTCAATGCGCTTGATCCCATAAACGAGCAACGACGCCCACGGTTGATGCAGCGTCAAACAAGCTTTTCCCGGCTCCACCATAACTTCGCAATATCAGTAACTCGACCCTCACCCGGTTCCCTCCTTCGACCTTCTCAGCCAAGCCCAAAATCAGCACCACAGTCCTCCCTCCGTCCGTGTCTCCAACCTCTTGCAATTCAAAAATTCAGCTGGGCTCCACCCACTCCAAAAAGAAACGCCACCTCCCGAAGCGAACCGCGCGCCCTCCCTTAATTAATGAATCGAGCTCCCCACACACCACGCGGACGCGTGTGCACCGCACTCCACGACGGTGCATGCGAACATTTCGTTATCGACATTCCGAATTCTCGACCCGGAAGAATAATCATATCGCATTCGCGATTTCTGCACAGCCGAATCCCACCTCCTGCAAGAACCATCACCCTCGTCTGCTTCGATTCTTGCCCTCCCCTGCTCCGCGAGCTCCACCACTCGCTCCTTCGTTCGCTCGTTCGAATGCGGGGCTTCGGGAGCTCCTCGGGACGATGAAGTTGATGGCCAGCCGAAGGCGCGTCTGCGTCTGCGGGTGCCATTTGCCACGGACCCTCGGTCACTGACTGACGGTCGGGCGGTCCTCCTCGTCACCGGGCTTTCGTTTAAACGTGCCGCACATTGCGAGGAATCTGCTGAATCCGTGGACTACGACCGCCGCAATGAATGTGATTCCGTCAACCCCCACGGAAAGGAATCTGGTTCGGATTTACGGCATGTGTCTTTCTCTGTAGACACGTCGACGGCCGAGAGTGCGCAGTCGTCCGACCTTCGGCAATGTCGCTGTGAGAGTTCGCCTGGCTCGCCGCCCATTCGAAGACTTGGCCATATGCATTGCACCCCTTCATATTATTCTTCGTGGTGAGCTCGTTCATCTCTCCCAACAATTGTCTTCTATTTTGGACTACTTTGAGCAAAAATAAACATGGAAATCCAAAAATCATAGTCTTCCTTTCAAATATATATCCTTCTTACTACCATAAATATTGCTTCTAGGCGTATTAAAATTGGTGCAATTATACACAAACAAATTGTAGTCTTCATTCTAGAGTCTTGTTAAATAAATTGAAAAACAATTTGATGGTTGAACTACGACCTGTCACCTGTGTCTTAAATTTATTTATTTTTTATTCTCTTTTACTAATTTTTCATTTCTAATCAGAATATTTTAGAGCAGCAAGCAGAATATACAAGGCTGACATAGATGTAGTTTCAACATTTGAAAACTGGAGAGGTAATCCTTCTCTAAATTCATAACGAATTGCTCCATAATCTTATTATAAACTCAAAAGAATTATTCTTTTGTTCACACTTAATAAGAAATATATATTAAAATAAATTACTCGTTATTCTCATTTTTTAGATATCGATGAAATATGTAATTTAAATATGTATATAAATTTAATATTTGAGAGTGCAAAAATCTAAAAACAGTCGTTGCAATAGAGAATCTTCAAATATATTTTTACAATATATATAAGAACCAAAAAATTAATAAATTATATAATAAATATAAACATAATCAAGATATATCAAAGATAATCCAAAAAAATGATTCTTACGTTTGATTTATTATAAAAAACACTGATTGAAAATGAATTATAATCGTACAATCTTTACATAAATTCTATGATCACTTTCCTATTTTTGTTTTATAAAATTCAATCTTCAAATATGTTCAGCTATATTTCTGAGTTGTTTGATAATAACAACATTCAAAAATTAAATTTATGTTCTTTCACTGAAATTAAGATTAAATATTTGTTAAAATGACTTAGATGTTACATCATAACCAATCCATGTTTCTTGAATGAAAAAATTTAAAAAAAAATAAATTTTCTTGGAAAAAAATTTAATAGAAATTAAAATATATGTAATTATAAATTCAATAAAAATAAAATTAATATTTTTTAAATTTTATTTTCAAAAATATATAAATCTTTAATCTAAATCAATTTACACACTTCTAAGTATTATGATATCATATGTTATGATACATAAAAGTGATAGATATATATGATAATATGATGTATAATATAGGCTAAATTTTATTTACTTATGATTAGATTATTTTTTATTTACTTATAAATAAAATGATCACAATTGACAGTAATTGCAATAGAAATATCAGTTTTCTACTGATAACATTAATTTTTATCGACTGAAAATTTATATCAGTTGGTTTTCTTGTCTTTTATTCAGTTTATTAGAACATGAATCTTTTTTAATCAATTTTCAACATGTTCATTCAATTTAATCATCTATACAATCATAGAAAAATTTAGATATTATTTACCTGAGTCTTAAATTACACTTTTAAACATGAATATTTCCAAACGTGAGTCTCTAAAAATCTTATAATAAACCTATTATTATCAGTGTTCTACGTATTATCACTATATCAATAACCTTGAAAATTTTTCATGTCACAGTAATCTGATCATTTCAAAAAAGTTGTAACAAAATAAATCCATATTTTTGAAATCGTCTTCAGAAAAATATTACTGAAAAATGGCGTATGCAACACCAAAGCATGTAATTTTACATTCATTTTTATTGATAAGCCATTGATTGTCATGTTTATATTTCTAAATGTATTAGTTGAAATAACTCTACCAATGATGTGAACAGCACAATGTATGTGTAAAAAACTTGGAATAATGATATTTTTGCGATTTTTCATTCGTAATTAAAAAAGATTAATTCAAAAAAGTATTACATATGTAACAGGTAAATTTATGTAATTATCAATCAATTTCAAAATCATGAAGTTGTTTGACCAAGTATTAATTATTACCAAAATTCATTAAAATTCAAAGATTCAAATCATATTTTATAATTTTTTATTTGTAACCTTTTCTCATCGATTTAAACTATTAACTGACAGTTTCAATTTCTAGAAGATTCCACTTAGATGAACAAAGTATAGAACATTACATGAATAATTCGTGAGTTACAGATTTGCATATGCCACATAAAATGAATCTATACATAAGATTTGATCTCAAATTATGCAATATATATATATATATATATAGATATTTAATGTATCATACATTCCATAGAGTGCTCATATGTGGGTTGAATGATGATTCATTGGTATCATGAATCAAATATTTCTTAAAATTGAATACATGCACCCTTTCTTTTTTTTGGGACCTGGGGAATTGAAATCAAAATCATTTGCTCATTTTGATCAACTAGATTGATCATTTGTATGTATAATTTACTGAAATAATACTCAAAACTTAAAAAGTATGATGGTTTTTGTTATTACACTGGAAAAAACTCAGCTATTGTTATATCCACAAGTCATTTATCTACATCATATAGCTTTGTAAAATTATTTTCAGCTTTTAAATAATCAATTTAATAACATTGGATTACTCTGTGTGATTTAAACATAATATTTTAGAAAAAAATTAAGTTGCAAATTTATTCTATCATTTTCAGTGCTAAGTATATGACTTATCAAATTTTTCAAATAAAATCAATTTGATAATAGTTTATGTTTAGTCCTTTTATTGTTTTGCAATAAGTTGCTTATTAAAAATCTAGTTTTCACTATTCAATGTGTAGAACAGCATCATGGTTGTGCATTTCGATTTCAGCACAAAAATTTTCATTAGGCTAGTGTAATACTTAATACAAATTATAAATTCAGTTATCCCTCATTTTCATAAATTATAATAAATAATCTATTTAAATTGTTGTCCTTAGAAAAAATCTTACTCCATTGACTGATTTAATTCTTTTCTACTTTCTTAATTTTAACTGAAATATGAAATAACATCAATCGTCTCCATTGTAGACAGCTTGTCAAGCCAATATCAGTTGACTTCTTGTTCAATGCATCTTGACAGCTATAAAATTGATACTATCGTTTCAACCTTATCTCCCATGATTTTGAATAAAAAATGCGAGGATGCAACAATGATCACGTCAAACTCAACTGAGGCTTTATGCCTGCATGTGCAGTTTATGTACATCTAAAGAGTCTTCTATGAAATCCGTTAGAACAGTTGAGCGTATCTACATACCCAAGGATATTGTATTTTTTTTCCTAGTATATATTTTGGCAAAGTATCCTCTTTTATAAGATATCACAACACAAACAAACTGAAATTATTACTCATGGAACCACTTTCCAAGAGCAAGTTTCACAAAAGATTTCATCTGGGAGTGAGTATGAGAGTATCTTCAATTTTCTTAGAGCACAACTCTTTGCTTGAACTCTCATAATCTTTCACTTGTTACTCTTTCATCTTCAATTTTCTCTCGAGGCTATTAAAATTCCCACACGGTTGAATCCGCTATCTTGTCTATTCTATTTTTCTTTAGAGCTTGCTGAATTTTTAATCTAAAAGGTTTTTAGGCCAAAAATATTGTTTGTGCTCTCCTCCTTTAACTTCCATTTGTTCTGTTCTGTTCTCTTTTTCTAATGTTTTTAGTTTTCTTCGTGAGTCTTTACTTCTCTGTGAGAAAATATGTGAAAAATCTCAATTCATGTGAAAAAACTCAATTCAAATCCTATATGCAACAATCCTATTTGAACATACATAAATAAAAGAAACGGAGATGGTGTATGTTGCTATCCATACATGACCAATATGAGTGGTTCAAAAGTTATCTGTGTAGATTTGTGGATTTGCGACAGATGTATCTATGACAGGGTTTGCGCATGTGGGTCTATGCCACTCAGAACTTTTTATTTTTTAATACACGTTCTTGATCGTTATCTAATACCAAGTTTGTGCATTTTTCACATATAGATCTGAAACAACACCTCACGCGACCTACTTGTTAGAAGTGTATCTGTTGGTAGCAGAGAGAGATCCAAATGACACATGTCATTCCATCATGTAATTCTCCAATCTATATAACGACCACCCTAATTTACCTCACCTTGGGAAATTACTACTATTAAATCCCTAGGACATAGATATTTTATTTTTTTAATCAAATGTCCTTTTTTTCTATCACCAATTGAAAAAACTTGAATAAAAAAATTCTGAGCTATCGATTAGTAGATACCCGAAAAGTAACATATTAGACTGAAAAAATAATGACCAGATCATTATGATAGATTTGGAAAAAACCATTCAAAATACAAAAAAGTAACAAATTTGCTAGTAGCACTCAATACACTTTCCCGTCGTTCCTTTAGTGTTCATTTAGCTAAGAATGGAGCCCAATTTTTTTAACTAAATAAAAGAATGAGTTTAATGTTAATTTTCCGTGTTTAACAATGTAGAACCCTCGAATAAGTGAAGAAAGAATCCCTTGCTCCAAGTATACTCTCATCTCTCATCTACTTGTTCCCCGTCATGTTGGCATCGCTTGTCCGAGAGTATAGTCAGTACATAGGAAGTGCATGGGTTTACGAAGTAATGTGAGGTGGGCTATGGAAGTACTCAATCGAACCTTTCATGTGTTGGGGCTTCTGCTGATCAGACAGTGACATCCTGTTTCCGACATTGGATGGCAGAGACAAAAGTCGAGGGCAGTGACAAAAGTCGAGATACTGCCGAGCCTGCAAGTCAACAAATTACAGGTATGAGCGAAGGGCGTCCGTCTGCTGTATATGTCGAGACAGATGACCTGTACTCGAGCCAAGACGGTGGAGGGAAGACGCTCTGCAGGTTTGGTGTGAGCCTGAATGGGCCAAGCTGGAGTGTGTCCGGAAGATTATGGAGATACTGCGCCTGATCCGATCCAGAGCGAGCAGTGGATTTAATAGACGCGTACTTGATAATCATGCTATGCGGGGATCAATCAAGCCACTGTGCCGCTTCCGAGCTGCGACCTGACTGGGAAACAGTCATTCGGAGCTGATCTGATCCGGAAATAGTTATCTCCGGACGCGAACATGTACTTCGTGCTAGCTCCGGGCCCCCGAGGATCAACACAGCTCTGGACTATGTTAATGACCTGATCTGGGCAGTGATTCGACCCAGTACACCCTCCCTTCCTTCCTTCCTGTGCACCATCGCCGACTATCATACAATACAGAGAGCTCCTCCACTTTGGAAAAGCTTGCCACTGATGCCTTTGGCCCGATGTGCCGTGGTAACTATCAGGGGACTGGGAACATAACGAAATTCTCGACATACCTGCGAGTTATCGTGTATGGCAGCGGCCTGCTGGTAGGATTTTGGTAACAAAATCTTGCAGAACAGAGAGATGATGAATCTGTCCTTTTCGCCCATCGTGCTGTGAGAGTAGCTCTCGCTCCTGTTCGGGCTTCAGTGTACTTGGATCTACAGTCCCGTCCCAGGAAGAACTATACTCGTACCTATCATTTCTGCAGAGATCGATACCACGGTACGATTCTGGAGCCTGGCGGTGTGCCAGGCCCGGGGATTGTATCGTCAACCGCGTAATGGAGAGAGGTCACACGTCTTGTGATTGCGACTTGCGAGATGGTAAGAAGGGTGGTTGTCCTCTCTTCAGGTTCCAACTTCCACAGACACTCACAATCTCTGTTCCTCTGTTTCTCTGTTCATGCAATAGTTCCTCGATGCTCCACTTCCTGTTCAGAGGCCGCCAGTCGGATTGATGGGGGCAGGGGGACGGGCAGGACTGGAAGGGTCGGGTCAGGTCAGGTCAGGGCCCCGATTCGAATTTCTCCCATATTGCGAGATCTTCACGTTCTTTCCGACACAGCTCTAATTACTCATGGCAGTTGGAAGTGGTTGGAGGGACTGGAAGTGCCCCTTCATTTTCGGCACATGGGCAGCCTGAATGCAAGGACGGCGACTGTACTCAGCGTGGAGGCTCACGTCTCCGTAAGATTAGAAAAGAAGGGCAACTTGAACTCGAACTGTGTCTGCGGTATCATCTTCTATGTCCATATCCATCCCGGTACAACACCGAGAGGATGGTGACGACCTCCACACCGTCGGGACAGGGGTTGGGAGTGATTGATGGTGCTATGGTTGGAATAATGATCACCAGGATTTAATAATTCCCCAATTTAGGAGCCATGTTTCAGATCGACCGGGGCCTTGATCGCTGTGACATGGACTGCCCCACGGGGTAACTGGGTGTTGCATCTAGGAGGAGTTTAACCAGCCTGGACTGGGACACGGGGTCTGGGCATCGGCTCGCGGGGGACCAAATATAGGGCGCCGAGTAAAAGCCTTACGCTCGCTGTGTCAGAGAGCTACGAGGATGGAGAGACAGAACTACGTTCGGCACGCAGCGCAGGCAATCACGAAGGCGATGGCCGCTCGGCGTCCATGTGGCTCGTTGGACTTATCCTCCTCAAGATAGGGACGCACATTCACGTCCCGGGAGAAGCTTTCCACACATGCTCCGTTACCAGTCCCGTGTCGCGGTCCATTATTGCCAGGGACGCCCGTGGAGATGTCTGCCCCGAGGGCTGGCTGGCTGGCTGGGCTGCCAACTGGCCCATGGTGGTGGACTCCCACGCCGGGGCTGCGCTGGTTATGGCGGGTCCAGCAAGAGACAAGGCGGGCAACCGATTCCCAGCTCGGTGTTACTGCGTCGCCATGCTTTTCGGTGGTGATTGAAAGTCTCGTGAAGATGGCAGACGCCAAAGGATTTGAAATCGAGCTGCGGCAGGGAAGACAACTGCTCCCCAATAACTGTCCTCGTCCCGCGTTCTGATTTCCTCATCAATACGCGAGGCCTGGATCATTTATCGCAGTACCAGCAAGATCCGACAGTGTCGATACTCTCAGAGCGAGCTGAAACACAATCAGGCGGCCAATGGAGGGAGACGCCGGCTCCTCATCAGTCCTTCCGTCCAGACGGCCGGCCCGAAGAAAGAAGGCCTCGAGGCACTGCGTTGCTTAATACTTCAACAAAGGCGATGGCGGTCGTTCGCCCGTAGCCGATCGACTTCCATGAGACTCACGCACTCTGTACTTGCCCGGACAACCGCTCAGAAGAAAGAATTCGAAATCCGAAATCATGCTCCTCGTATCAATTGTAACTACCAACCGACGACATGCATTGTACAGGCACAGACCTGAAGAACCACCCGCTCGGGAGTTCAGATGAATCTCCGGGTACAGAAGAAGAGAGCACACGTTCCATTTACCGCAACGAGGTGACGCCAATCGTCAATTTCACAAAACGAAGACGGACGAAATGCCTGAACGAGAAGAGCATGGCGTTCCAGAAACCTCGTGCTATATGAGATCTGTCTATGACGGAGCTCGGCAAGCAGGCAAAGGCAAGAAAGAGAGGCGAATCTAGACCTGGGAAAGAGCACCGAAACGAAGACGAGACCGAAACAGAAATCCAGGCTAAGCGTTTGCGGATTCCGAGCGTATAAAATGGCTCGACGAAAACGAAATGTTACTAAAGAAAATTACATCGGTCACAGTAAGTTATGATCGGACTGATTGTCAATGAGTAAAATTGAAACAAGACTAAGGTCTAAGAGTCTATGATAGAATGATTACACCGCAACAGGGCGAAATCGGAGTTGTACCATATGGGGGTGAGCCTAATGAATGAAATGTTCTCGCCTTAGGTAGTAACACCGAGCCACCCCACCGAAAAATCACAATCCTATACCTGGTAGTATGTTCATTCATCACCTCGAAACTTGGCCAAGAAGAATATGATGAAATAGTACCCAGCTTATCTAACTTAACTCCCTGTTTGCTCCTGATCTAAACACGAAATTTTTTAATTAACAACACCGCTCCGGCCGTGTGCGATTGTAGCCATGGTCTCATTTCATCACACTGTCGGATCCGTCCCCACGGCCGGTCCAGTGGGATTTGTAAGCTCCTGCACCCCCCATCGAACTCGCAGCGGGCCAGATCCAGCGCGCACTGTGTATCAGCGCCGAATCCCCCGCCGCTCGACGCCAGTCGTCCCCTCGTCTGCTGCTCCTCGCCGACAAGCTCTCTCGAGCTTCTTCTCCGAGGCATCTCGGTGTGGTCTCGGGGAACTGAGGAAGGGGTGTGGATGCCACAAAATTACGTAGGTATGGAAACAATGCGCTCGCCTAGCACGGTCCTGTCGGCGATGGTGGAGGTGGTGGAGTTGGGTTGACCCAATGTCCGTTGTAGGGAGGCACGCCTGTGGGTGGAGATGGCGAGTATGGTACGTAGGGAGGTGATTGCGGCGGTTGATAGGCAGGCGATGGAGGAGGAGGCGACGGGGTTGTGTACACGGGAGATGGTGGAGGAGGAGGAGAAGCTGGCGCTGGGCTGCTGTAGTATGGTGGGTAAGTGTAGGCGGGTGGAGGAGGTGGAGGTGGGGATGGGGGAGGAGGAGGTGGGGGAGATGGAGATGGAGGAGGGGGCGATGGAGGAGGAGGAGGTGGAGGAGAAGGAGATGGCGTGTAGACAGGGGGAGGAGGAGAAGGGGTCATGGGAGGGATGGGAGCAGGAGGCGAGGGCGACGAGCCCGTGCCGAAGAAGGCGCCGCAGACAGAAGGAGGCTTCTGGTTGTCGAGTCCGGGGATACAATTGCCGCTCACGTCGACGATGGCATTGCGAGGAGGGTACGTGATTTCGAAGCAGAGCCGGGCTTCCCCGGTGAAGAAGTTATCTCGGAACGTCAGATTTTGGACCTGAGGCAGACCGCAAATGTTCTCCGTGATGTTGCCGAAGAGCTGATTCTCGCCCACGTTGAAGATTTGCAAGCTGCTCATGTTCTGCAGCGTGTTCGGCAGCTGTCCGGTCAAATCGTTCACGCTGACGTCGAATAGGTCGACGGAGTCCAATCGACCGATCTCCGAAGGCAGCATTCCGGAAATTGAGTTGTTCAAAAACACCAGCTGGTTCAATGTTTGCGACATGTTGCCCACGCTCCTGGGGATCTCGCCCACCAGCTTGTTATTGGCCAGCACGACGACCGACACCGGCGAGCTGCCGAGGTTCGAAGGAATCTGGCAGTCGAATTCGTTGTTGTTCACGAACAAAGCATCCAGATTCTTGTCGAACACCTGCGGCGGAATTGGACCGTAGAATTTGTTGAAACGGATGTCCAGAAAGATCAGGCTGGGCAAACTCAGGGCCACTGCGGGGAAGTAGCCGTAAAATTGGTTGTTGCTGACATCGAGCTCGGACAGCTTCACAAGATTTTTGAACGACATGGGCAAACTTCCTGTGAAGAGATTGGAGTTGATGTGGAAGAGCGCCAGATCCGTCAGGTATCCGAGCTCCTCTGGGAGTGTCCCGCACAGCCCCCCGTGATTCAAATCAATACCGGCCACCACCTGCTTGTAGGGATCATTCGGATCTATTGCCTCGCAAAAGATACCCCTGTACTTGCACACGTCGGGTCCGACCCATGTGTCCGTGATCCCCTGAGGATCGTTGGTGATAGCCTGCTTCCACGCTTGCAGCGCATAGAAAGCGCTGGCCAAGGGGTCATACGATTGCTTCTTCTCCCAGTGTTTCTTGTAAGGTTTGTATCCATTATATCCGCCATATGCACCTGCGACGAACAACCACAAAATCCCAGCCCGTGAGGAAACGAAAAGAGAAGTGACGTCAAGATACAGCGAGCACTGTCTGTGACCCCTTCACGCTCATCGCGCAACGAGAAGATAGGGTTTAAAATATACTTGATTAAACTATCGAGCAGACGAGCTCATCGAGACATCGGGGAACTTTCAGAAACACGAACGGTTCGTACAGACAGGCTTGACGACAATGAGAAGCGCAATGACGACGACATTGATCCGAAGGCAGGAAAAAGCCGCAGCTTGAGTCCCACTCGACGTTTTTCACGGACCAGAAATTCCTCACGGCCGTCACGACGTACGGCCTGATGGCTTCCACAATGCAGCTTCTGGGAGGTCTCGAGTCCACGGCCTTGGGCGGTCACTCTCGAAGCCTCCGAGAAGAAGCACAGCTCGGACCCGCGAGAAGACCAAGGAGACACCCAGCTCGAGGCTGTGAGCTCCATTCACATAATTTGAGACACTCCAGGGAAGAACTATCGAAGTCACTAAAATCTGATTTCACTCCGAAAGGAAAAAGGTGAGCTGCCAAGAGCAGCAGCTCAGCGGCTGCGGCACATTCATTCGAGGCGCTCGGAGGAGGCTTACCTCGGTCCCACGAGTTCTGGCCTCCATAGGTGGCTGCGGCTTGTAGAGCCAATGTGGCAAATACTAGCGCAAGCAGGTGTACACACCGGACACCTCCTGCGCCCCTCATCGGGGAAAACGTCGTGACGCTCCAAACTCTATACGTACGCTAAAGGTCCTGTCAATGCAGCGCCTTCGAAACAAACGAATCCAAGCGAACAGATCTTTCAAGCTCTCCCTCTCAATGTAGTTCGGCGGGCGGTTTTTTCTCTTGGGCTTGACCTCTCTGCTCTTCGCCTCTCGTCGCTGCTTCTGCTTCTGTCGCTCCGCGCTTCGCTTTTCTTCTTTCTCCCGCCCCTCTCCCGAATTGATATGCCTCGAGCAAGTGGAAGCAGGCAGCTATAGTTCCAGCATGACCACCTCCGGCGGGCAGGGTCGAAGCTGCTTGCTGTCCACAGTGCACCAGCAGCGCCGCTCCTGCTTATGGAGTGTGAGCGTGAAGAATCGCACTGCTCTGCTCCCTGCTCCCTGATCTCTGCTCTCTGCTCTGCACTGCACCTCCTCAGGAGAAGAATCGCCCCGAGAGAGATGTACTACCCCGCTGCGCCCCACTGCGGTTTGTTCTGCTGCGTTCTTTCTCACCCCCCTCCCCCTCCCTCCCCCCACTGTCTGTCCCCTTCCCGCCTCTGACCCACACGTCTTCAGCTTCAGTCTACTCCCTCTCCCCCCTCTCTCTCTCTCCTTCCTCGCCCCTCCCTTCCCTTCCCTTCCCTTCCCTTCCCCTCCCCTCCCCTCCCCTCCGCTCCACACAAAGCAACCCACTTATTCCTCCACTACTCGCACCGATATTCATTCCATCTCCGTCCGTCTCCTTCCATCTCCTCGCTACTGTATAGTCACTAAGGCCCTGCTGCTGCTTGTAGGATCTCTTACTTCTGAACTCATATAACTGTATATTATTATTTACTCTCAATTTCCGCATTTAACCTGAGCTTACCTTAATCTCTTGATTTTGCACCGGAACTTCATGGCGCCCGGGTTTGTCAGCCACGGCCGCCCCGTTCCGATCGACGCAGCTCGGGCTCAGCTCAGATCGTCTCGGATCAGTTCACCTCGAGCCAGACGACGGGGACTTCCGCCTTTCCCCTCGATAGGCCCCGGACGGCGACGGCGACGGCGACGATAGCCTCGGACGGCCGTCGGACGCACTCTCCTCGACACTAAGACGCTCTGGGGCATAATGGGTCGATATTATAGTGTAATCGAATCACATGAGAATGTCCTCCTCCGGATCGCATCGGCGCCGTCGGATCTGCGCTAATTAAGCGCTCGGCCAGACACGACAAGCCTTTCCCTGCCAGCAGCATGATGATAGTCCGGGGGAGGCGGATATTCTCTTCCGAGGAATCGTCACCCGCCCTCCCCCGCGCAATCGAGGACCAGGGAGGCGAGTTCGGTTCGAACCAAACCCGGCCATGATTAGATCGACAGAGTGCCACTGGACCTTTGGACTCCTGCAGCCCCACTCCGCTGCGCTCCGCTCGCCTCAACGGACAGTCCGGCCATACCACGCCCTCTCGGGGCAGTCACCTCCAAAATTAGAGAACCTTCCAGATCTGTCGCGTTCCGAGCCCGGTCTCGCTCTTACCTTACCTTACTTTACCTTACTTTACTTTACTTTACTTCACTTTACTCTCTTGCTTCGTCCGGGTGACTTAACTGTGAGACCAACCGCTTTTCCCGAACCGGCCTCGTCACGGCTTTCGCTCTCGGTGTCGCCGAAGTCGAAGTCGAAGTCACCCAGCGCCGTTTAAGGAAACTCCGTCACGTAAGACAAAACTCCAACTTCCTAACGGCTGCTCGAACGTCTGGGAAGAGTGCGTACAGGTCGAGAACTGGATGAGACGAGCGGGGGTTGGGAGGAGGGGAAGGAAGGTCGGGCGCCCGCAGTTGGCACGCCCGGATTTGCAGCGATCCGTTTCGGGGTGGAAACGTTCGGCAGGCCCAGCAGCGGGGGCCGGGGATGAGTGAGTCGGGTTGGGGGGAACTCTGGGGGCATCATGAGGGGACCACGGGGGCGGTACCCGGCGGAGGGTGTTGAGGGCTGGGCCCGCGCCGAAGGGAGAATGGAGTTTCTTCTGGCGCAGATTCGTCGTGACGACTCGGATCTGGAGGGATGAGCTCGTCCAGCTTCGAAAGGTCCCTCGCGACCTTCGCCGCCCCCGAGTCGCGATCCGGTCGTCGTACCTTTCCCGCGTTCCACAAGTACAGTGGAGAAAAGGACGTCCCATCCCGCCGCGACGCGACGCAGTGCGATGTGACGCGACTCGACTTCACTCCACCGCGCCCCCCGACGTGGGACCCAGTCACTGACTCGGTCAAATCAGCTCGCCCGAATCCGCACGAGCTTCATGACTTGAGCTCAACGTGCACAGTCGATTGATTGCGACCTGTACATGTGCGCTACCAGTCCCAACCGGTAGTCATGTTTTCGACGCTACAACGACGGGCCTTCACATCGTCCTCATGTGACGGTGGCCCAAAGCGACCGTCGCGGTGGAAGTGGGCCATACGAGACACGACCCGTTCGCAGTCGGTCCCTCGTTATTTGCTTCGTCAGAAGCGCCTGCCTGCCGGCCGGCGCAATATTATTGACACCGAGTCCTCGTCCTGATCGAGCTCGCCTTTGAATCTCACCAAAGAGCTGAAGACCTGCTTCAGCTCGATGTCGTGTTTTTCTATCGGCGGAACGGAGGAGTACATCTCGTACTTGGCACATCCGGTAGGCATCGGACCGTACTGTGTACAGCACTGTGGTCAGTTCAGGTCAGGCAAGGCTCATCTAAGCTGGGGCTGCTGGGCTCAGCTCACCTCCGCTTCACTGGGTCTGCGCAGTGAAATCATTCAATTCTCGTTTTCAAATGATACTCGGTATGCTCGTCCGTATTTCGTAAATCTGATCTCTGAAATTTCGCTCCAATGTCATTCAAGTAGATTCCAATGGGAGGAATTTGTCGACATTATGCAAGTATGTCTTCGAAGGGGAAAATCTTGCGCAATCTGCAGCTGCTGTGGAGATTTATGCGGGGAGATTGATATCTCATCTAACAGAAGTTAAGACGAAGTTGGTTCTTAGAAGGTCTCACGATTTAATATGATGTATCTTTTGAAGTACGAAATTATTTTCACTGTTGCCTAAAACATGAGTGCTTGGCCTCAATAGGACAAGGCTTCGAGCGAGATAAACTTCACAAGTCCAAGTACTGTACTTGCAGTCTCCACCGTATGAGCAGAAAACCTGAACAACTTCATGTTTCTTTATTTCTTATATTATTGCTCCAAATCACTTTTATACCCGAGCAGCAATAAACGTATGTTGTTATTGTTGGTTCGAAAAGTGATGGAGCCACAAAAGCTAAGCCCAGCCATAAAGGAACTCAATCCAACCACTGCGTTGTACTTTTCCCACCTCGAACTTAAAGAACTCGCCTCATAATCCTCAGCCACAAACCCTGTGGATGAATGTCAAATGTCTGCAAAGCGTTAGCTTAGAATGGACATGCAACGCGCATAGTTTATATACAAGTTCATATAGGGTAGATTTTTCCAGCCTTCCGACATGATTTCTGACCCCGAGCACTGAAATGAAATATTCACGACATCGGGCAGGGCAGGAGGAGTTAGGACTTAGCGGCGTAGTTGGTGGTAACGACCTGACATCGTCCATCGGAGTCCGGGGAAGTGTGTCGTGACCATAGTAAGTAAGCTCCACACCGCGGTCTGGGTCTGGGCCTAGGTCAGGGTACGTACTCGACCGTCGTGGGGGCCCATGCAGATGACATGAAGCTATTGAAATCGGTACCATGAAACGTCGAGGACCCGAAACATCTGTTCATAACTTCGACCCAACTGCTTTCATTCCCTCGGCTACTGTTTTGCTTCAAGAGGATAGTCCATTTATTTTAATGCATGCATCCGATTTCGTTTTTCCGCGGGCACAGGTCCCCAAGTGAGTGGTGCCTGATGCCATCTCCCTCTGTTCATGAAACTCGAAATTGATGGCCCAGGATGAAGTAATCTCCGTGAATGAACGTTGACTCCTTCTAATCTCTTTGCTTCCATATTTTTGAAGTCATACATTGTTATCACATAAATAAATTAGAAAATCATTTATCCATTACTATATATATATATGGAATTATTTAATTATAAAATTATTATTATATTATCATATAATATAGAAATCATTTACCTAATTTCATTGAGATATTAGAATATATGTAATATATTTCCCATAGAGATGTTATTGGATCTGGTTTCCTACTAATATTTGAAACTAGTTGGATGAGGGTTTACTGCCATTTCTCTAAAAATATTTCAATATCCGAAACAAATGCTTCTCTTTCTAGGGGATCAAATTCGTATCCAAACGTCTTGGTGACATTTATAGAATGAGGTGTAAAATGAGTGATCGTGATAATTAGAACTAATCTATATATAAATATATCATTTTTTTGAATATTATATTAATTATGATGCCATACTAACCTCCCTTGCTTGGTTTCATTCCCAACATTTTCTATGTCTCCTCTCTTTCTATCTTGGGGGTATTCCCATTGGTTTTTATCCCCCACTCAGCACACGTTCTATTATCAAATTTAGATTGCTCTGTTTTTCAAGCGCAGGTTTCGGATCATTGACGAAATTCGAGTTTCTGATTCTGACCTGGTGACCGTGTAGGACGCTTTGCGGGAGCGGGTCACAGATCTACGATCAGTGGAGCGTCATGTCCTCCATCCGGTCACCCGGATGGGGACAACGACACAGAAGGGGCACGTTCAAGGATATGGAGACTGTCGGAATTTATGACTGAAAACGAGGCCTCCGGGCTCTCATTAATGGATGCGTCGTGCCACCGTCACAAACTTCATCAATACTGCTCACGTCATAAAAAAGACCATCCCATCCCCACCCTATCCCTTGGGTCAAGGATTCCAGCGCAAGACACCAAAAACTGAGGTCTCTTCACATTTGGATGCTTTTCACCCCAATGTCTCGGTGAAAGTGAAATGAAGATGCAAACAGCGAGAGGCGACAATGATAACGAGTTCTGGGATTGTAGTTCAGTTTTTTATTTTGCACGTATGCCTCACTGTTCATGCAATGTGCTACTTCCAATACATTTCATGTTTACGTGGAAATGAACTCGAAGTTGCATATTGTCATGATTAGTTCATTGCAATTTTATATATCCCGTGGTCATTGAAGGTAGACCATGAATTATGTTATGACTTGCGAAGGCTTACATCAGTAACCGAGGTACAAATCCCTAGTTTGATTTTCCAACATGTTTGGACTAACTCGATAAATGAAGCTGATCCTTGATGAATCAGTATACATCACTCCACTAACCTCGCGTATGTATCCAAATAGAGATACAAAATACTTTGGGGACTTTCATATGAAACCCTTGAAGTAAGGGACGGGGAATGAGCGATTCCCCGTAATCTCACTCCCCGTTCCCTTTGTATTTTACGGCCTGTAGTGAACAGGGTCATAAAACACATAAAAACGTTGTGGACAATGACAGTTGATATAAACCCTATGACAATAGTCCAAACCTGAGAGAAACATTAAGTTCCTGTCATATATCGAGGGTGGTCTAGCTTGTTTC